AGTATTGTTTATAATTACATTTGGGTGTCTCAAGCAGTGGCTACAATTTGTCTCATTTGTTGTTGTCTGTACAAATTATGTAGGTTATACAATAATTTTACTAATTTATAATTGTGTTATTATGTTTTTTACTATATTGTTTTTGTTTTATACTTTTTGTATTATTTGTATTATTTGACTGATTTATTTTTTAGCTTTGTCCATAAAATTGTTCAATAATTTTCAGTGACAATAAAGCATATTTCTATTCTATTCTATTCTAGATAATCTTCCAGCGGAATTATATAAACAAGGTGGCCACGATATCATAATAGCGCTACAACAGCTTATAAAAGAAATATGGATACAGAAGTCCCTCCCAGTGATTAGAATATTGGAATACTTTGCACCATATACAAAAAGGGAGATATCTTTGAATGCTCTAACTATCGAGAATTACGCACCTAAATGCAGCGTATAAAATATTCTCCAATATACTATGCCATCGTATGGCACCGTATGCAGAGCAAATAATAGGACAATACCAGGCTGGTTCCAGAGGTGGTAAATCAACAATTCATCAGATTTCAACCCTGAGACAAATTCTAGAGAGAACACAGGAATACGGTGTAGACACGCACCACATATTTATAGACTACAAGGCAGCCTACGACTCTGTAAATAAAAGAGAATTATTTAGAGCAATGATAGACCTGGGAGTACCAAATCAGTTGGTAAATTTACCAAAACTAACCCTTGAAAAAGTTGAATGCAGAGTACGAATCCAGGGGGAACTCTCTGAACCTTTTAATACAAATAACGAGCTACGTCAGGGAGACCCACTCTTCTGTATACTATTCAATCTAGCTCTGGAAAAAGTAATACGTCACAAATCACAATTACCGGTTCATATATAACAAATCTATGCAAATCCTAGCATATGCTGATGATATCAATATTGTTGGGAGAACGGAAAACGCAGCACGAGAGGCGTATGTAGTACTAAAGGAAGCGGCTACAAAAATGGGTTTAATAATAAACATTAATAAAACGAAATACATGAAAGTAGGTCCGCAACCACAAATACGACGGCCACTTGTTATAGAAAACGACGTCATCGAAGCAGTTAACGAATTTGTATACCTGGGAACGCTCGTCAATACTGAAAATGACATTACCGCAGAGATAAACCGCAGAATTTGCACGGCTAATGGATGATATTTTGGGCTTAATCTCCTTTTTAAAATCTACAGCTATATCAAGAAATACAAAAGTAAAACTCTACAAAACAATAATACGCCCAGTCCTAACATATGGTTCAGAAACCTGGACTTTAACAAAAAGCAATGAAAACCTGTTAGGATATTTCGAAAGAAAAATACTGAGGCGAATCTATGGAGCGGTAAATGAAAATGGTGTCTGGAGAAGACGATACAACTTCGAACTCTATAGAATATACCAGGAACCAGATATCGTAAAACACATTAAGATAGGACGTTTAAAGTAGGGTAGGCCATGTAATGCGGATGGAGCAAACCGACTCAGCTAGAAAAACGCTCATTGGTAGACCGATTGGTCAAAGAAGAAGAGGAAAACCCAGAACAAGAGATGAGAAATATGGAAATACGTTCTTGTTGGAGGACGGCGGTGGATAGGGACGACTGGAAGAGAATTCTTGGGGAGGCTAGGACTCACACAGGGTTGTAAAGCCAAAATGATAATGAAGACTACGGGGAGTTCACTAAGCCCTACTCTATTCAATCTTATCATGAATGTGGTCATAAATGGCGTCAATAAAAGTAGAGGATACAGAATGGGGACCAATGAAATCAAAATTCTCGTTTACCCCGACTCTGCAATACTGATAGTTCAAAATGAAGAGAGCCTTCAACGACTAGTTCACAGACTTAATACATGAGTAAAAAAAAATTAACATAAACGGTTTTAACTAAAACTTAAATGCGGACAATGGAAATGATCAACACGAGACAATATATTTTACGGCGGAGCAGCACATTGAAAACCCGGGTTATGAAGAACTAGTTCAAATAATAAAGAAATTAAAAACAGTAAAACGCCAGAAACGGACGGAGTTTTGGCAGAATTGTTGAAATAGGTAGAACCCGAAGACTCTGGAAGAATCCAGTACCTGATAAAGTTAGCATGGACCAAGAAGCAAATGCGGAGTAATGGGCAGTTGGTCTTATACAGCCAATATATAAAAAAAGATAAGAGGGAATGCCAGAATTACAGACCAATTACATTGCTAAATGTAATATACAAAATCCTTTCTGGCATTATCTATACTAGATTGTCAGAATACTCCGAAAATAAAGCTGGTAATTATCAAAATGGATTTAGACCAAATAGAGTCACTACAGACAACATATTCATACTTCTTCTTCTTCAAACATAACACTTAACCATTTTTTGTCTTAGTTGTAAACTGAGATGTTTATTGCAAAGAAATGACTTCATTTTCATAAAAGTAGTTTAGTCATTGCTATTCTACATTTTATTTCTTTGTTTGGATCTAGTTGGCCCAAATATGTCATTTTGTCAACTTGGACTCCGTTTAATTGAAGCTTTGCATCGAGATGTGGGTGACGACTAAACACTAAAAATGTGGTTTTGTTTTTGAGTTTATTTTGATGCGCATTTCCTCTCCTACCTCGTGAATACTGTCAAGCAGAATTTGAAGACCTTCAATATTATCTGATAGAATTACTGTATCTTCTGCATATCTAATCACATTAAGTAGTTCCCCGTTAATTTTTATTCCATATGGTTGTCTCCCAAGTGCCTTTTTAAATAACTGATCCGAGTAAACATTGAACAATGTTGGCGACAAAATGCAACCTTGTCTGACTCCTCGTTGTATAGAGATTTTATCAGTGTAGTTATCTCCAATTTTTACGATAGTAGTTTAATTTCAGTACAAATTTTTAATGACACGATTATCCTTGTCATCTATTCCGATATTTTTCAGTATTTGCATTAATTTTACATGCTGTACTTTATCGAATGCCTTTTCGAAGTCCACGAAATATCCAAATACATTTTTCTTTGGTCACGGCATTTTTGTAATAGGATGTTAAGCGCAAAACGTGCCTCATTGGTTTCCGTAGCATGTCTAAAACCAAATAGGGTATCTTCAAGATCTTCGCATTTGCGTCTAATTCTGTTGTTAAGTATTCTTAGGAAAATTTTAAGAGTGTGGCTCATTAGACTAATTAACCGAATATTCTGAGCATTTTCTCGCATTGTGTTTTTTAGGTATTGCGTCAAAGATGGATTTAAGCCAATCTGTGGAAATCACTTCAGTGTTATATATTGAATTAAAAAGTCTTACTACTACTTTTATGTTATCATTCTGTATTAATGTCAGTAACTCAGTTGGTGTATCATCTGGACTACAAGCTTTTCTAATTTTAGCATTATTTATAGCATGTTCTACCTCACATTTCATAATTTCTGGGCCGTCAGTACAGTTTTGGTAGAATTCGACAATATTATTCCTGTCTTCTTCAAACAATTCTGATATATACAGCTGCCATTCTTTTCTTATTGCGTGCTCATTTACAATAATTTTGTTATTATTGTTAAAAAGTACAGAGGGAACTCGTTTTTTAAATATGTTACTCATTTCTTTTAGTTTTTTTGTGCACATTAAATAAGTCGTGTTTAGATATTACATTCTCCATTTCGTCGCACCTTTCTCTTCCATCCATTTTTCTTTGGCTAATTTGATCTCCTTTTTTAATCTTCTCTGCAGGTGTCTATATTCTGTTTCATTAGATTTTATCAGTCGACGTTGTTCCATTAATTTCAAGATGTCGTCTGTCATCCATTTATTTTTTTTCGATTTAGTTTTTTCTATAATCATTGTTTGTGGAGATTTCGTTAACTTGGTTTTTAAATTCAATCCATAGTTCTTTTGGATCTTCTAGTTGTTCTCCGATGTTTTGTATTCTATTGTTAAATTATTTTTTAATGTTATGTTTTATGTTTATATCGTTAAAGTAAGTGCATTTGTTTTTTGGTTTTTGTCGCTGAATTCGTTTTAACCTTAGTTTAATATCTGCTACAAGTGGTTGATGATCAGATCTAATCTCTGCCCCAGGAAATGTAGTGACTTTTTGACGGCATTTTGGAAACGCTCATTTACAAGTATAATATATATACTATATTATAGTCTTCTTGAGGAATCAGGGTTATTGCCATCATCAAATGGGGCTTTAGAAGTTTATAGTCGCCGCTTGGGTATTTTATAACAGGTGTTTGCAATGATCATATCGTTTTCTTAACAAAATTCATACATTCTCTTTCCCAGATCGTTAGGTTGTCCTAAATCATAAGGACCTACAGTCTGACCTCGTCGACCTTCCCCAATTTTTACATTGAAGTCGCTTATAATATATAAAATTTCGTGTTTATTAGGTTTTTGTAACATGTCTTGGATCTGATCAAGTAGGATTTATAAAGTTCCTAACGAAATCAAATAATCGAGAAGACATGCGTTATTTATAGTTTAATCTTAGTAAGAAATTTCTGCTGTGAGGTTGCTCAGGAACAAGATGTCTTTATTGTATCAGACGACATACCAATTAATTATTTTTACACAGTCGCAGAAAGTAGTAGTAATACATCTCTGTTTTAGTAAAAAAACAATACTGGTTGTTGTTTACTATTGATAAACTTATAATTATTTGAGATCGATGAACTACAGGAAAACCCAAGAAATCCAGTTCAGGGTGCGATTTTCAATCAAACTAATAAGGAATATTTAAACTTCCATTGTTAAGTAATATTGGTATGCTTTAACTGTAATTTATCACTTTCAATATTAGCAATTAAAAAAATATCAAGAGCTGAGACAGATACATTGTTTACAATTTTTATCAGGGCCGAACTTCGTATTTATACATTAAAAGATACCTTCTAGTAAATAGATAATTAATATTTCACGCACATCTCTGTATAAATATTCGTCCGCGAAAAAACAAGCGACAAAGTGCATGTAAAAATGAAATCAATACAAATTAAAATTCAGTCTGCGTTGAACCTTATAAAATTAAATCTAATTTGATTGATTGTTTAGTAATAAGAGTCTAGGTATTATAATAGTTGCGAAAACGTTGTCCCAGTAGAAGGTGCTTTGCAATGTCTGCAGCCAATAAAGGTATGGAAATTATCGAAAGGAAGTTGTCTAAAAAAGTAGTGATTGTAGAAGAAAATCAAGAAAATGTCAAAGAAAGTAAGGAAGAGTGTCTTGTATGGTTGAAAAAGTTATTAAAAGGTAATCGTTTTGAGTTATTATTGAGGATAATATTTTTGTTTTCTTTTATAAATAGTTTAGAAATTTTCGTATAGTTAATGAAAATATATTTTTTATTTCCACCAAAAAATATTTTAGGTTATTATAAGATTATACCTACTAATTTTTTTTTTTGCATTTCTAATGCACCAAACCTTTTTTATTCGATTCTATATATTTTTCCAAGATGAAATGTATTTTTTTTTAATTTTTACAAGTGGGCCGGCAATTGTTATTAACAAATAACTTATACACAAAAGCAATTTCACCTAATTGCTTCGGAATCAATTTTTTTAGGTGTATCTCATCAAAATAAACACTTTTTCTTTCTTGATAATTTTTCTAAAAATGCTTCCTGAGTTATTTGCATTTTTTTGTTGAAAAAATGCCTTAATTAGTGATTTTTGGGATTTTTTTCTAAAAAACTGCTAAATGAATTGCAATTCTACAAATAGCTTTATAATCTTTAAACCGTCGAGTACAAGTTAGAATATTTTGACAAGGATAATTTTTTTCTATCTTGCTAAAAACGTGGACCTAAATATTTCGAATACTTTCGAGCAGTCTACCGCTAAGTGTGTACAGCGGTTGCGGATACGGCGGCCGTAGAAATATTTGTTTAGATTTAAAAAATTAATTTAATACAAATATTACGTACAATTTATTAAAAATAAAAGATATTTATAATTATTTTTATATAGACATATTATAATTAAAACAATTAAAATTAATTTTTTACAATGCTATAATAATGTAATTTTTCTTTTAATATACGTGGTGACTCTATTATTGAATGTTTTATTACAGTGAAATACATTAAGCAATATATAATCTATTTTCATTGAAAAATATAATAAAATAAAAATATAATATTATTTATACATCGTTTTCATTGTCAATAATTTGAAAATTTTCGTCAACAGCAACAGGATTTCCATCTAATAAGCTGATTTCATTGTCTTCAATAAAGTCGTCTTTAACATTTTTACAATTCTCTGGTGTACATGTACATACTGCGCAGCATTCTAAATTATAGGAAATACAATTACAATTTTTCGTAGAACATTTTCCGGTACATGAGCAGAAATACTTTTGTAAAATATCTAAACTAGTTTCGCCTTCAAAATAATTAAAATCGAAACAATTATTTTCCATTGTCCAACCATGGGTTAATGGATCAAGAGATGAAATAATATTGTTTTTTGCTTGAATCCATTCATTTATTTTCCACTTTGCTCTTAAGTAATGTTGTAATAATGCTGGTTTCGAAGGTGGTAATTTTTTATTAGATGCATTTTTTTTTAATGCAATATTATATCTTAATTCATTTATGGATTCATGATATTTTTTAAACTTATTTTGAGGGTCATACAGTTTAGATAAAAATAGAGTCAAAACTGTAAGTCCTTCATCTAAAGGTTAAAATTTCATTTAATCAATTATCAGATATTTTTCATATATATATTACATTATTAAAAAAGTCGAAAAGATTCGAGCACCTACAGCACCTCAACCGTTGTACACGCTTAGCGGGATACTCTCGAAAGGCATATTCGAAATATTTGGGTCCACGTTTTTAGCGAGATAGAAACCATTTATCCTTGTCAAAATATTCCAACTTATACTCGACGGTTTAAAGATTATAAAGCTATTTGTAAAATTGGAATTCATTTAGTAGTATTTTAGAAAAAAAATTCCAAAAATCACTAATTAAGGCATTTTTTCAACAAAAAAATGTAAATAACTTGAAAAGGAAGCATTTTTCGAAAAATTATCGGGAGAGAAAAAGTGTTTATTTTGACGAGATACACCTAAAAAAGTTGATTCCGAAACAATTCGGTGAAATTGCTTTTTTGTATAAGTTATTTATTAATAACAATTGCCGGCCCACTTGTAAAAATTAAAAAAAAATACATTTCATTTTGGAAAAATATATAGAATCGAATAAAAAAGGTTTGGTGCATTAGAAATGCAAAAAGAATTTTAGTAGGTTGATGCTCTGCTTATAGGGGTAAACCGCTCGCCTAGAAGTTAAAGTGCAAAAGCTCTCTAGATCCTAATTCTTAGGAGGATTAGTCCTTTTGCTCGTTATTTGATTCCATTCTACCATCGTGTATGTCACTGCTTCATCTCATACTCGCCAGATGTGACCTATCCATCTATATCTACATTGTTTTTTTTTTTGGTCACGATATCTTCTTTTTTTTTTCTTCTTTTGTTTCATATTACTACATCAAAATGTTTCATATTTTTGGCTATCAGAACGGTATCATCTGCATACCTAATATTGTAAGTATATATCATATATTTCTTCTTCTAAATGTGCCTATCTTCTAGAGATGTTTGTGATCACATTGACCCATCTTATTCTATTCACAGAAGCTCGATATAGATTTGTTGATATTAGAACAGTCCACTTCTCAAGATTGGCCAGCCAGGATGTACATCTACGTCCAGGGCCTCTCATACCCTCAATCTTGCCTTGTAGAATCAACTGTAGAAGTCGGTATTTATTATTACGCATGATGCAGCCTAAGTAAGCCAAGTTTCTGTTCTTTACGGTGTTTTTGCTTTTCAATAATTTCTTTGTCTTTTCTTAGCCTCTGAAGAATAATTATGTTACTTGTGTGGTGTATATATAACACCCTTAACGTACGCGGTAGCACCACGTTTCAAATGCCTCTAATAGTAGTGGTATCTTCTGTAAGTAAGGTTAAAGCTTTCTACTCAATAGAGGAGGACACTAAATGTAACATCTAAGAATTCCACGAGGAAACTAAGTTCCTGTAGCTGGCTGTATACCATATATCACAAAAAATTGTTTAAAAATCCTTTATAAAAGGTATATAAAAATGCCCCAAACGGGCTATCACAAACACATTGCAAAACGTTTTCGGATTAATTAATCCATCCTCAGTGCAAACCTGAAAGTATATAACCACTTTAATTTAAAAGAACGTTAAATTAAAATGTTGACAAAGGTTAGAGCAAATGTGGTTAATACTTACGGTTGTACATGCTAGTAGCCACCAAAATATGTGGGTCAAAACCCTTTAAATGTTTTAAATTTGTAGTTGTTTTACATTATTAGTAGTTATAATTTGTGATGTTAATTTTGTGATCTAAGAATTCTTATGCGTGTATTGGTACTTAAAGATAAGATGCAGAGAATCTTCCTGAGGCTGTTGAAAGAGCTTCTGGCTTTTTCAATACGAGTTTTTATTTCGGAGCTGTGATTCCAAGTATCCTTAATATTGCAGCATAGATAGCATATTTTTCCCAGTCTTTCTAACGGTGTATCGCCTGTTGTAATTTGGACGTTTATGTTGGTGTTCTTACTAATGATCATTGTTTTTGTCTTCTTGCAATTTAGTTTTAGGTCATATTTGTTACATGTTTCTACAACATTATCCATCATTCTTTGAAGCCCCTGCACACTATGTGCCAACAACACTGTATCGTCTGCATATCTAATATTGTTTTTATAAGTTGGCCATTTACAGCAATCCCTTCTTCTGATTCGTCCAAGGCCCTCTAAAGATGTTTTCAGTTTATGTTAAATAATGCCGGTGATTTTATGCAAACCTGTCTAAGTCCTTTTTCGACTGTGAAGATCTCGGATAGTTAATTTTCTAATCGCACTGTTGTTATTTGTTGGAAATATAAGTTTGAGATCAGTCTTATATCCTTACTATCGAGTCCTGATGTTTTTAGGATATTGATCTTCGGCCTGGCTTAACAGCCCACATATACACAAAATAGATGCCCAATTGAACAATACAATGAGAATGATGGCCCTAGGCAATGGCTCCCACTACTGAGCCACATTTCACCACCCAAACTACGGCGTATACACTCCCTCACTCATCATCATTCAGCCCATACTCGTCCACTGCTGAACATAGGCCTCCCGTAGTTCACCCCACAAATTTCTGTCCTGAGCCGCCTGCATCCAATTTTGATGTGTCCGTTTCAGGTCATCCGTCCATCTTGTTGGTGGTCGTCCTCTATTTCTAAAGGCATCTTGTCTGGGTCTCCACTCAAGAATGCGTTTTGTCCATCTGCCGTCCTTCGTTCTCGCGACGTGCCCTGCCCAGTTCCATTTTAAGGTTGATATTCTTTTGATTGCGTCGGTTACTCCCGATCTACGGCGCAATTCTGTGTTGGGTATTCGGTCTCTCAGGGTTAATCCCAACATGGACCGTTCCATTGCCCTCTGTGTTGTTCGAATTTTGTTTGCGGACGTCTTAGTAAGTGTTAGCGTCTCCGCACCATAGGTTAGAACTGGCAGCACACATTGATCGAAGACTTTTCTCTTTAAGCAGATGGGAAGGGCTGATTGGAAAACATCTCTTAGCTTTCCATAAGCTGCCCATGTCAACCCTATTCTACGTAATAGTTCATTGGTCTGGTTATCTCTACTTAAGCGAATTTCGTGTCCCAGATATTTGTATGCTGATGTTTGTTCTATACTTGTTCCAGCTATGTTGATGTTCTCACTCAGAACAAGGTTTGTCATCACTTGTGTTTTTGAGTTATTGATCTTTAAACCCACTTGTGTAGAGGCATGGTAGAGTCTTTCGCACATTTCGATGGCATGATCTATGCGGTCTGTTATCAGGACTATATCGTCCGCGAACCTGAGGTGACTAAGCTGCTCTCCATTTATGTTTATGCCCTTTTCGTCTAGGTTTGCACGCTTACACATGTATTCCAATAATGTTGTAAACAGTTTTGGCGAAATGGTGTCGCCCTGGCGAACTCCGCGATGAATTTTGAACTTGTGTGTATCTTCATGAAGTCTGACGCATGCCGTGGCATTATCATAGATATTTTTGATGACAGTGGTGTAGCGGTGATCTATTCGGCACTCTTTTAAAGCTTCTAGCATTTTCTGGTGGTTTACTGTGTCGAATGCTTTCTCATAATCCACAAAAATTAGGACGAGGGGTTTATTGTACTCTATACATTTTTCGATGAGGCTTTTAATAACTTGTAGATGGTCGTTTGTGCCGAAGCCTGACCTGAATCCTGCCTGTTCGCATGATTGATAAAAGTCCATTTTGTTCGAAAGTCTGTTTGTTATGACTTTTGTAAAAAGCTTGTATATGTGTGAGATGAGGCTGATTGGTCTATAGTTTACGAGATTTGTTAAATCTCCTTTCTTAAACATTAGAATGATCACTGCATTTTGCCATTGTGATGGTGTTGTTCCTCTTTCAAGGCATTCTGTGAAAAGTATGGAAAGCATTTGTATCAGTTTCTCGCCTCCTAATTTTATGGCTTCGGCAACGACCCCGTCGTCGCCAGGTGACTTGTTATTTTTCATTTGTAGGAGAGCTTTTTTGATTTCATCAACAGTAACATCTGGTATGTCTTCCGAGCCCTGGTTTAGAACCTTTGGTATGTTGTCAGTTGGAACATTTTCTTCTGTTTTGCTGTAGAGTTCGCTGTAAAATTGTCCGACAGTTTGTAGAATTTCCTGTTTATCTGTTATTATTTCGCCCTTTGTGTTTTTCAGTTTGTAAATATTTTTCTTTCCTATTTGCTGTTTCCTTCTGAAGACTTTTAAACTTTTGTTCTCTTCTATGACTTTTGATATCTCTCTGGTGTTGTAGTCTCTTATATCTTTTCTGATGTTCTTAGTGATTTGTTTGTTTAGTTGTCTCATTTTTGTTAGATTGGTTCTGTATTTATCTGTTAGTTGTCTTCTTTCCTCTAATAGAGTTTTCGTGCTTAGACTTAGTTTTTCTTCGTCTTTTTGGTTTTTTGGGCAACATTTTTCTTGTGCTTGTTTCAGAGCTTTGACTATTTTCTGATTTAGTTGTTCGATGTTTATGTTTTCTGTTTCTTCGTTTTGTAATTTTTCTTCGACCGTACGTTCAAACAGTTTTGCATTTTCAGGTGGTACCCATCTTCTAACATTTGGTTTAGGAACAAGCTTCATTCTTTCTTTTTTAACGTTAAGCTTTACTTTTGTTCTTATCATTCTATGGTCGCTGCCAGCAGAGAACTTGTTGAGTACTTCCACGTCTTGTATTATATATTTTTTATCTGTAATTATAAAGTCGATTTCGTTTTTGACGGCGCCATCAGGGCTTATCCAAGTCCATTTGTTTTGGGGTTTCTTTTTAAAGAAAGAGTTCATTTGAAACATGCATTGATGATGTAGAAAGTTTAAAAGCATGTCCCCTCTTGCGTTTCTTGCCCGTATCCGTACTTTCCTAACGCGATCTCCGCTTGGTCTTGTTTGAATCCGAGTTTTGCGTTGAAGTCGCCCATGAGAACAGTATAGTGTGTTCGTGTTCTTTGTTGTGCCTCTGCTACATCCTCATAGAATTTTTCAACTTCTTCATCTGTGTGTCCAGTTGTCGGGGCGTAGACCTGTATAACTTTTAAACTATAACGAGAGTTTAGTTTTAATATCAATAGGATGACTCTCGTGCTTATGGTCTCGATTTTTGTTATGTTGGGTATGTGTTTTTTATGTACAATGATCCCGATTCCACCGCTGGATGAATGTTCCTCTCCTCTGTAGTGGAACAGGTGTCCTGATTTCAATGTTTGTTGTTCTTCTCCTCTCCTTCTAATTTCACTAAGCCCCATTACATCCCATTTTATTGTTTTTAATTCGTTTTCCAGTTCTGTTAGTTTATGATCGGTTGAGAGGGTTCTTATATTATAGGATGCAAGATGCAGTATTCTTGTGCAGTTTAGCCGTCTTGAGTGGTAGCCTGGTCCATCCCGGGCATTCTTAGCACCCTCTGCTCTTAATCTTTTCTGTCCGCTACCTTGGTCAGAGATTTTTGAGCTGCCGGGGACTGAGGGCCGTGTTTGGTTTGTGTTTTGCATGTTTACGGGGGGTTTGGCCTTAAAACGCCACGCTGGCCAGACGTGTTGGCGAGTTGGGGGAGGATATAGGGAAGGAATTTGGGGTTTGGGTAGGATAATATTGGGGTTTGGGCCTGGTTTCCCCTAAGTAGGGAGTAGAGGAAAACCAGGAGCTCACGTGGGCAGGGGCGCTACCTCCCTGAAGTAAGTCTACCCTCTATCGGGATCATAGAGGGGTACCTACCCGCTACCCCAAACTCCCTCACTAGTGAGTACCAAAAGGTACTTAGTAACGAGATCCTGTCAATTCATCAAGATATAGATGCTGCCAACAGTAACTGTTTACGCTTCAGACGACCGCCAATAAAAACAGCACAGATTGCAGTGGAAAATGAGTTCAACTTAACGACCACTTGGACTCGAGAATGGATGGAACAACAAAATAGCAGCTTACCCTGCATCACACAAAAACCACCAGGTTTTGACTTACCACGCAATACATGGATTATGTTCATCCGAACCACAAATGGGGTAAACAACTATCCGCACTCTGTGACTGTGGACAACCACAAACCATCTGTCACATTACAGAACAGTGTCCCACAAGATCCTATCAAGGCAGATCAGAAGATTTCCTAATGGTGACTCCAGAGTCGATAGAATATATACATAAGTTAGATGTTCGTTTGTAAACATATACATATGTAATGTTTTATACAAAATATATGTAAATTTAAATGTAAATGTGTCAAGTGCCATACGATAAATAAATAAATAGGATATCCATTAGTTTTCATGTGGGACTTTCTCAAATGCCTTCTCGAAATCAATGAAACATGCATACACATCGCAGTTGACATCCCTGGCTCTCTGTATTAGAACTTGCAAACTAAAAAGTGCTTCCCTCATTCCAAGTCCTGCTCTGAATCCAAATTGAACTTCACTCAGGTGCTCTTCTAATTTGGTGTATATGTGCTAGTGAATGAAGGAGTACTTTAAGTACATGGCTCATCAAACTATGTTCTTCACATTTTCTAGCATTTGGTTTTTTAGGTTTTTAAGAAATGGAATAAATATTGTTAGTAGTTTTTTGGTAGTAACTAGTCTCGTATATGCTATTGAATAGCTTCGTAAGATCTGTGATTTGGTATACCTCTAATAGCTTTAAAATTTTACCATGCACGTCATCAGGTCCTGGTGATTTTCCATCTTTAATCTGCTTTATGGCCATAGTTACTTCTTCGTTTGTTATTTCTAGGCCGTAGGGATTGTTTATTTCAGGCGGACTTCTTCATCATCTGCAAAATTTTATCTCTCATCCATTCTTGCTTCTTTTCTCTTTTTGATTTTAGATATTCATGCGAAATTATGGTAATAGATGTCTTCATTTCGTTACACTGTTCGTCTATGCCTCTAGTAGTGTCTTTAACTATTTTCGCAAAACTCTTATTAACCTCTGTTTTTTACTTTTTTCTGGATGTCATCATATATTTACCGTTTATTTTTATACCAATTTGAGTGCCGTTTAGTGCTTGTTTGAATATGCATTCAGAGTAAATTTGAAGAGCAATGGAGACATGACACAACTTTGTCGGGCACTTCTTTGTATACGGACGCTTTTAGTTGTGTGGTTGGAATATTTTAAGGCTGTTTCTTGGTTTTAATAAAGGTTATGAATTATGCGGATATTTTTTCCATCTAGCTTCATTTCTGTAGTTCATAAGTCTGCTTTATCTTTTTTAGTCCTTGTCATTGTTTCTACTGTGTATAATAATATTTCTCTAACTGTTTTTGTCCTTCTCTTATTCTTATAAGCTTTAAGCTCATATAGGGCTGGTCAAAAGTCCGTTCCCCCCTCGTATCTTTTGAACGGTTATTGTTATAATAGCAAAATTTGGAGGGAGGTAATAAACAAACGTAGGCTTCTCAACTAGTCATAACAGGTGACGTTATAGTGAAAGATGACGTTACAGCGCCACTGTGAAAAACAATTTTAAATGGGATCTTATGGCAAGTGATACCTTGTTTGAAAGGTATTGAAAATATTACCTATTCAGTGATAATAATTTTGTTTGAGTTTAAGCTCATTTTGATGAATAAATTAAATAAATACTAAAATTGTACCTTCTAGACTACTACTTCCGGACTAGACCAAAACTTTGGAAACGCCTAATTATCTCCTACACGAATGATCCGAATAGTATAAAAACCGGAATACGCCTATTCTGCAATATGGAAAATTCAAATTTAATGCTTATAATGTTGCTTGTAATGTATTAAATCTTGTTTAACTTTTTGTAGTTATGTGCTAAAAGAACTAGGTTGCCTGCGTACATTATTAGTGCGTCTACTTAGACATTACTCTTGCAAAAATAGTGTCTACTATGATAAAATGAAGAATACAATTGAATTTTCTGATTTTCATTGAAGTATTTATTGGTTGTTGTCTATTGCTTGTCTAACTATACAATTTAATTAATTCTAGATGACCTCAAGCTTAAACACTTAAAGGGAGATGACGCCTATTTGACGAGATTTTTGCTAGCCGTAGATTTAGATGTAGAGGAAGCATTCAAAAGAGTAAGGATAATTACTTGTTGATATAATATATTCTTACGTTTTTTCTCTGAGTTCAGATGTTAAGTGAACCACAACGTGATTAACTAATTTTAGTTAACTCCCAATTACAAATATAGCAAATTCTAATCTGTTTTATTTTTAGATCAAGCAGTTTTACGATACTTTGGAAACGCTACCCAACTGGTTCCCAAAACATACACTCATAGATAAAAAATGGGTAATTGAAACAAATTGTCGAATGTTGTTGAAGGAAAAAGATAAAGAAGGAAGGCCTATTTACATATATAAATTGGGTACGTATCAGTAACCGAAAGATTCCATTTTATAAAATAGTTATTAAAACATTAACATTAACCGGTAAGTCTAATTTTTGAGCCAACTGTTAACATACTTGGATAAATTTCTGTATTAAATGTCTCCAAATGTTTCCTACATCCCTGGTGATCAAATATTTGCTCATGTGTGAAGTGAGCGTGAACGTCACATAGAGTATCAACTCTCACTTATTTGTGTTGGTAAATATAGTTTGAAAGCTACACTACAAATACTTATTATTGTATTATTAAGTTGAATAGTATTAAAGAAAACGTATCTTAATTCATGTCCTAGTTAGTAACCGTTAATAACTGTTAATAATGCCAGTATATTTGTCTTTCTAAAATTATCTGTCTAAAAGCTCACTAGATACTATCTGGTGACTTCCGACAGACATTACCAGTTATTCATCTCTCTACATACGCGGATGAGATTAAAGCATGTGTAAAACAATTTTTTTATGGCGAAATGTCGAAACAGTTCGATTGACCATTAACAGGACAATCGAGTACAAGGGCAAAATGATCTATCGGCGCAAATATTTTCCAAGCATTTGCTGGATATTGGAAACGGTAAAATGAAACTGCATCCCAATACACAATGCATACTTTTGTTCTCGTTTGGTTTTTCTGAAATTGGTTATAGAAAATTTCACGATCTGTTTGTAGTTTGCAATCTTCTGGACTGTTTTTAGTCAAATCAAAGAAAATAATTAAGAGTAAATATTCAATTTTAGGATTGGTGGATCCATCAAAAATGGACTTAATCGAAGACTTAGTAGCTATAGACGACTGTTACGTGGAAGGAATGTTTCTGGAAAACCCTGGAATAGAACAGGGTATGTGCGTCATCATCGACGTGGCAAATTTCCCCTACAAAGTTACCAAATGGGCGACTCCTTACAATATAAGCTCCTGTCTGAAAAGAATCTACAGTATGCCAGTTAGAGACTACCGGTACCATATAGTTAATAGTTCCATTTGGGTCAATCTGTTGATAAAAATAATTTGGCCGTTTTTGCCGCAATATGTGAAGGAACAGGTTAGTTGGTTTTAGTACGAAAGGTATAAGATTACGTTTTTTTAGTACAAAATTGATTTTTTTTTATTTTTTTCTTTTTCTAATTCAGTGACCATTATTGATCGTTGGATATCATGTTGGCTAACATATTCGCTATAGTAACTTTATCGACAGAAGCTCTAAATAATGATGTAGTACCATTGTCTTGGATTTTTCAGCTACGATGTTATTTTACCAGGACCACGTTTACCTTGAATATTTCTCTGAATGACAGGTGCAAATATTTTTCAGGGTGTCTCATAGTATGACCGAAGTATTCCAGCTTGCATCTCTTTATTGTATTGACCAGTTGTGTTGTTTGGTTCAGGCGTCTAAGGACTTCCTTATTTCTAAAACTGTCGACCCAGCTTATTGTTAGTAGTCGCCTGTATACCCACATCTCAAAGGCTTCCAAACGTTGAAGCATAGCCTCACTTAAATTCCACGCTTCCATTGCATACAGTAGCACTGGAAAGATATAAAAATGTCATTCTAAAGCAAAGAGAGTGGCTGCAAAGTATGTTGCTCATTTTTACAAAAGTAGCTCGGTTTGTTCTATTCCGATTTTATTGTCTACGGTTAGATCCTAGCTGTCATTCGGGTCAATCCATGCCAAGTGGTCCAAAGGTGGATGCTTGACTATTTTAAATATTTTTTATTTTTCTACCTTTGATACTTCAGTCTATAGACAGTAAAAAATTGCATTAATTTTATTTTAAAAAAATTTATTTTGCCGATGGCGGCCATTTTTGTTTTAACCTGTCGGTCATTTTCACGGAAAACATGGCTTATCACTCTTTACAAAATATTTTCACTTAGGTTTGTCCTAAAACAATAAATCAAAAACCGAACTGTTTGGAAAGGTATACTCTAAAAAAATGGTCCATAGCATTATTTATTAACCAACTACTCTTAATGCCTTAAATTAACCTCAAAATTTGAAAAGGTAAACTGATAAAATTCCGTTTTCACCATTTTTTTTAACAACATAAGGCAAGCTGATAATGGTTTGTAATTTTTTTCTGGAAAAGACATAAATACGTACTTTAAATGAAAAAAGTTTGAGCTTTGAGACTTACGTCAATTTTTTCAAAAAAAATCTCAAAAATGTATTTTTTGGAAAAATTTCAAAGTTTGAACCTTATATGGGCAAGCAAGTAAAAATTTGAAATTTGGCTGAATGTTAATTCCTAATGAGTAGAATAAGTGGTAAAAAATTGAAGTTGTAGACTTAAGGCATATAGGAGTTACAGGCCTGAGAAAATAGCAAAAAATCATTAATTTGAGCGTTTGCAGTAGATTAATTAAAATTCAAAATAAACTGTCTAAAGAAATAAAAATTAATGTATTTTCACCAAATTTCACAATAAATACAAATTTATACTACATTATAGAAATATTAACCTTCATTTAGAAGAAAACAGCAGAATTTGTCCTGGAAAAAAGACCGTACGGTCTTTACGTACGGTCACATGCGCATCGAAGGAAAGCCAGTCCACAAACAAAAATATCTTCTATGCATCATAAGTAACTATCAACAACATAACACTGCCGTGGTTCACTTTTTTCAGAAATATTTCATTTAAGACCCAGCTGTTAAAAGAGTAATTTATGTTACTGACGGTGCCAGTAGCAATATAAAAATAAAAGAATTTCCTGAATATCTGTCATCATGAGCAAGATTTTGGTCTACAGGCGGAATGGCACTTTTTGCAACATCCCACGGGAAAATGCATGCGATGGTATCGGCGGCACAACAAAAAAAGAAGTTACTAAAACCAGTTTACAATCAACTTGTAAGAATCAAATTTTAACTGCAAAAGATATGTTTGATTTCTGATCACAGAATTTAAAGGGTATTCAGTATTATTATGTTGAAAGTGAAGAAATCCTACAACATAAATCACAACTTGAAGAGAGATTTAAAACTTGTTTGAAAATTCCTGGCACGCGTTCTTTTCATCGAAATACCAATCCTAATTGAAAATAATGTAATAGCCTGTGTGTATGATGGAAAATGGTGGCTAGGGGTAATAAAAGCTGTCAGCATTGAACATCATGACCTATATGTGCACTTTTTTTAACCTTCTGGGCCCAGAACATCATTTAATTTAAGGGCTCATGATGAAGCTTGATCAGCATTTATACGAATGAAGCCACTCCTAACGTGCAAAAATCTAAATTTGGAGATCAGACTACGTACCATTCGCTGTTATATATTTTCAATATTATTATATGGAGCTGAGACTTGGACATTAAAAAAATGTAATTTAAAAAGAATCGAGGCCTTCGAACTCTGGTTATAACCGCAGAGTATTGAAAATATCATGGACTGATAGAATTACAAATAAAGAAGTACTGGAGAGGGTTGGTAAAGAAACAGAACTAATCACCACTATACAAACCAGAAAACTGGAATACCTAGGCCACGTGATGAGGGGACCAAAATATGAAATTTTGAGACTGATAATACAGGGAAAGATTCAAGGAAGAAGATCTGTTGGCCGAAGGCAGAACTCATGGTTAAAGAATCTACGTGATTGGTACCAATGCAGATCGATTGATTTGTTTAGAGCAGCAAGTTCTAAAATAAAAATAGCCATTATGATTGCCAACCTCCGTAGGGAGACGGCACTCCAAGAAGAAGAAGATGAAGCTTGGGTGCCTTTTCATAAAATCTTAAAGAAAATAACACCCTCAGAACTAAAAACATATCTCAAGATATCTCATCATAACATATCTCAAGATTTGTGCGATGAAAATGTCCTAACTTTTGAACTGTCAAAATTCTAAATGAAGGTTAATATTTCTATAATGTAGTATCAATTTTTTATTTACTGTGGAATTTGGTGATAATACATTAATTTTTGTTTCATTAGACAGTTCATTTGAATTTTAAATACTCTACCGCAATCGCTCAAATTAATGATTTTTTGCCATTTTCTCAGGCCTGCAACTCCTTAAGTCTACAACTTAAAATTTTTACCCCTTGTTCTACTCATTAGAAACTAACATTCAGCCAAATTTCAATTTTTTTTTCTTGCCCATCAGAGATATAAGTGCTCAAACTTTGAAATTTTTCAAAAAATTACATTTTTGAGATTTTTTTTGAAAAACATGACTTACGTCTCAAAGCTCAAACTTTTTTCGTTTAAAGTATGTATGTATGTCTTTTCCAGAAAAAAATTACAAAGCATTATCAGCTTGCCTTATGTTGTTAAAAAAATGCTGAAAAGGGAATTTTATCAGTTTACCTTTTCAAACTTTGAGGTTAATTTAAGGGATTAAGGGTAGTTTGTAATTAAATAATACTATGGACCACTTTGTTAGAGCATACTTTTACAAACAGTTTGGTTTTTGATCTATTGTTCTAGGACAAATCTAAGTGAAAATATTGGCTAAAGAACGAAGTCATGTTTTTCGTGAAAATTACCAACACGATGAAACAAAAATGCCTCCATCGGCAAAATAAATGTTTTCAAAATAAAATTAATGCAATTTTGTATACTCTACAAACTGAAGTTTAATTGGTAGAAAAATAAAATATATTAAAAATAGTCAAGCAACCAACTTAATTTATATTGGACCACTTCGTACGGATTGACCCATTCATATTATTGCCGAGAGACACTAAATTCTCTACTCTGTCCAGCACAGCATCTGCAACTATTATACCGGCATCCTCTATATAATTTTGTTTCATATATTATCATATACAGAGTGGCCCAAAAGTCTGGAATGACCAATTTCCAGTCCTCACAATTGTCCTCAGTCTACTCCCGGAGACAAATGAATTTTGGGCCAATTCTGAGGGCAGTTGGCAAGGCGAGGTGAGGTGGCTACACGATGACAATTGGCGAGACAATTGTCAGAAGATAACTGACTGGCATGAAATTATTGTCTTCGTCTAAACACTCTTCTATCTCTTTACATTTTTCCTCATAATAAGTTTGTTTTACCTCTCTTATCATTTTTATGATTTCATTGTTAATGATTTTGTAATTGTGACTGTCTTTGTTCTTGGCTTGTCTTCTTTCGTCCATCCTGTCGAGTATTTCGTCGGTCATCCAGCTCTTTCTTATCGGTTCTTTTAATATCTCTTTGCATGGAACGAGGAGGCAGTTTTTGTATGTTTCTCATTGTTGGTTTATCTCGTAGGTGTCGGTATGTACTTTATCAAAGTTTTCGTATATTTTCTGTTGGATATTGTTTTTATATCAGCCTCTTCAAAGTTTTCTAACATCTAATTTTGGAGTCCTTTGGGGTTTTCTAATACATTTAAACCTAAGCGTGCCATTAGAGATTAATGGGTTATGGTCTAATGTGACATCTGCTCCTGGTTATGTTTTAACTGATTTAATAATATTACGATATCTATCTTTAATCGTTATATAATCGATTGGGTTTTTACCACTTTTTCCGGTTTATCTGCTGGTGAGCGCCATGTATATAACCGTCTCATAGGTGATTTAAAGAACGTGTTTGTGATTATTAGACTTTGTTCTTGGCAGAATTGTATTAGACGATCTCTACATGTAACCCCTGAGTTTCTTATTGATCAAGATAAAGATGCACCTCAAGAAAACTCATCCTGGCATCGTAGAGGATGTTCTAGAAGTTGTGACTTCAGTGGTACTTCCAATCATAAGAGCAACGTAGGAAACGTGTTGAGTAAAGTTAAAGACAAACTATCGACAACAAAATTTTATTTGTGAGTTATTTGTTTGTTTCGTTGATAAATTGTCGCAACTTAGTTGTCATAACTCGAAATTTTGTTTTGATTTAGAAGTAAATCATGTTTTATTTTTAGGTAAAATTCCACTTTAACGATTACAACAGCCTATATCAATATGTCGACCAAAATGTATTGCCAGAAGAATACGGTGGTTCATTAAAAATAGAACCGGATGAACTAAACAAGACCTTTTTAAGTTATAATTCTAAAATAATGGATAATTTTAAATTGCACAGGTATCAATACCTAGACAACCTGAAAGAAGAGATTGTACCTAGTAATAATTAATTTATTTATTATATTGTAGAGATTAGAGAATAAAGAGAATTTATAGTTGTACATATGGTTCTTCATTTCTTTTTAGATACCATAATAAACGCATAGGGGAGAAGGAGGCTCCTTAGGACAGGGGGCAGCTTCAGACATTGATATTGTGGGTAAATTTAAGGACTAGGGTTGGCAACACTGACATCAAAACATTCCATTACCACAGTATATTGCTTAAAAAGAATCAGTAGGTTCACTCTGCCGCGAGTCCTGTGTTCTTCATGTTCCATTTTTTTCACGCGCAGATAAATTCCAGTTTTGATACACTGCTCAATATAATTTTTAATACAATGCTCGAAAATAAATAGGAAAAGTGTGACTTGTGGCGACCTAAAATTTAATTAGATTTTCGGAATAATGAATACTTTCCTAAATTTAGCGTTTTCAACAATTATCAATAGTTTCCCAAATAATTATTACTGTTTGTCCTTCAAAATGTAGTATGTTGAATCCATCAGTTTTGATTAATTGAATATTAAATTTTTTGTATTCATTAGAAAATCACGTTGTATTCACTGATAGAACACAGGTGAGAAATCTAATAAAACGAAAAGCTAGTGAGGAAACTAATTTCTATAGATGAAAAAATAATAATACATTCGAATTATAAATTATATTTTGGGGATTTGAATTTTACAATACCAGTTATAATAAAAATAAAATTATAAAAAACACAAGTAGCGAACTATGAATACAAGTTAGAATAGAATATATATATTTTCACAATCACAACTTATTAATAACAAAATAATGAAATGAAAAAATGTCATATAACCTAAAGATCTCACTGTAGGATCACTATGTTCATAACGTAGTTAGTCAAACTCATATTTTTACGTACATTTAAAATTGGGAGAATCTATCTATATAAAAGGCTAGGATGACAAATCACACTGTTTGTACAGTAAGGTAACTACGCCACCTAGGAAAGAAATCTGAACTACCAACATCTACCAAAATTAAATATAATTAAGTAAAAGCTGTAAAAAGTGCTTTAAGATCAGATGCTGTGGCAGCTGGTAGTGGAATTGTTGTAGAGCACATGCCATTTGAAAACCAGTCACAGTTTGGTAAATTGAAGTCAGCAGTCAGATAATAGTGTGCAGATGGATAAACCTCAGCTATTTGTTCTAAGGTTTTACAAAATATGGAATATTTCTCAAATGCAGACTGGTGGAAAATATGATGTTTATATAATAAACTGAATTGCACTTTCAGTCACCAAGACAAAAAGTTGTTCGATTTTCTGGTTAACTGTTAATAGGTTCGTTGCGTAAGGCGCGGATCCGCGTCCAAGCAGTTCATTCCTCGGTGCTTTAAACATGACTTTTATTTATAGTATATTTTATTAGCACGAGAGTTGTGCGTTTATTTGCTATATCAGCTTCTAAAGGTCGATTCAGACACATCAGTCCCGTCACAGTCTCGGCGCCGAACCGGTCCTGTTTGGTCACAGAACTATTAATTATCTGACAGCTGGGAAACTGTTCGTCGCTTGATGAATGTGAATGCCGGCGCCATATTTCTATTAAAGAATATTTTGTATGACGGATTGTTCGGTTCGGCGCCAGGACTGTGACGAGACGTGACTGATGTGTCTGGATCGACCTTTAGAGTAGCATCAGGTAACGGAAGTTACGTCACAGTTGTCACTTTTGTTGTTTCCTTTTATTCTGACACGTGTTTGACTGTTGCAATGATGGAGAACATAGAGCCAGGTTATTCTCAGCCAAAACGTAAAAAAATATCCGTAAAAAACCTTAAAAAGTTAACAGAAGAAGAACTTTTTAACACAATCAGATAGTGAAGATGAATATATTTCATCAGAAGACGAATACATTATATCTACAGACGATGAGGATGGGGATGAGTTGGGTAAGTTGGAAACAAGTGAGTTTAAAAAAGTGTTAAATTTGTATTTTTGTAGGTGACGACGATATTTCGGGTGCAAGCCATGCAAAACGAGGAAGACCCAAATGAAAATTTAAATCCAAATGCAGGTTATGGGGAAGAACCCAATAAAAATTTAAATCCAAAAGTAGGAAATCCAAATACACATAAATGGCAAAATGATCATGATGGAATGAAACAATTTGAGTTTATTAGATGTTGCAACTTGTTGGTAGAGCCACCACAAAGTAAGACACCTTTTGATTACTTTCGTCTTTTGACGAATGAAACTTTTTTGAGCTGATAGTGACGAAAACGAATCTGTATGCTGAACAGTTATTTCTATCAGGTGTTATGACTTTCAACTAGAAATTATAATAAATTTACTACGCTCTCCTCAGAAAAATGTCCCTAAAACATTGAATAACTTGTCTGAATGGCATATTTTGAGAAAAATAGCTAGAAAAAATACAAAAGGAGAAATGAAACGTAAAAAGTGCAGGATGTGTACAGTGAATAAAAAAAGAAAAGATGCGATTTATGAATGTCTTATTTGTACTGCCATACCTGGTCACAGCCTAGGCGCATGCTTCGTAACATACCTTTAGACAAGACCGAAAATTACTTTAGTTGAGATGGTAAGCAGTAAAATATGCAAAAGGTATGGAACAAAGTAAAATGAGAACTGCAAAAATTAAGAAATAAACGAAAAGAATTTGGGGTTTTGAATCAGATGCTGCGTCAAATTATTTAAAAGAAATGTCTCCATTGTGCACTCTCAAATGTGATTTCAAAGAACGAGATTGAGAAAACTGCTTAAAACAAATTTCACACTTGTAAGGTTTTTCTGCAGTGTGTAGTCTCAAATGTGCTTTCAAATTATTTCCTTTACTAAATTGCTTAAAACAAAATTCACACCTGTAAGGTTTTTCTCCTGTGTGTACTCTCAAATGTGTTTTCAAATTACTTGGATAACTAAATTGCTTAAAACAAAATTCACACTTGTAAGGTTTTTCTCCTGTGTGTACTCTCAAATGACTTTTCACCTTACTTGCTTCACTAAATTGCTTATAACAAATGTCACACTTGTAAGGTTTCTCTCCAGTGTGTACTTTTATATGTGTTTTCAAATTACTTATAGTACAAAACTTCTTAAAACAAATTTCACACTTGTGAGGTTTTCCTTCCATGTGTACTCTCAAATGTGCTTTCAATTTACTTGCTTCCCTAAATTGCTTAATACAAAATTCACACTTGTAAGGTTTTTCTCCTGTGTGTACTCTTAAATGTCTTTTCAACTTACTTGCTGCACTAAATTGCTTAAAACAAAATTCACACTTACAAGGATTCTCTCTAGTGTGCACTTTTAAATGTGATTTCAAATGAGCTTTAGTAATAAACTGCTTAAAACAAATTTCGCACTTGTAAGGTCTTTGTCCAGTAGAAAATTTAATATTTTTATTTAATATGAAATTAGTTTTTCCTTCAGCATGTTGACTCATATAATTTCCTTCACACGATGAATCTTCAATTATTGTCTGCATAATTTTAAGTTCGTCTTCGGGAAAACCTAAAATAAAAACCAACTATTATCTATCTATATAAAAGGCTATGATGACAGGTCACACTATAAGTCCAGTAAACCAATGGCGCCATCTAGGAAAGAAATATGAATTATCATATGAGACCATGAGAACCAGAAAGGCCTAACTGATAAGAGCATTACTTTACATAATCAAGGAAAATATGAGAGGCTCAAATTGTATGATTGTTTTAGTAATTGTATGTTGACGAAGATGATTAAATTTGGTTTAAATCTTTAAGTATAATTAATATTTCATTGTTTTACTGGTTACACTAAACCTAGGTACCCTAGCAAAGAATATAGAGGTATAATTATTATACTTTTTACTATAAATATTATAGTGTAGGATATCTACAAGATGGAATTTATATCAAGGAATATGGATGCATACTATATGCTCCATTGGTTGCTTAAATATAGTTTTAAGTACTAACCTTTTTCAGTTTTTTTGATTTTTTTCAAAGGGGTTAAGTTTTTGTCCATGTTGTTCTATTTCAGTATTTATGGGATATTTATACTCATAAGTGTTCTGTGGACTTTGCCTATTTGATTCCTCCTTAATTTCACATTTAAAGTTATCCAAAAGAACATCATCCAACTCATTATACTCTATTTCTACTTTACAGGTCTCCTCGGTAATTTCCTGTTTTACTTCCATTTGATTACAATTGGTTTGTATGTATGGTTAGTATGTATTCCAATAATAATTTTACACCCAAAGAGCGAATATTATAAAGGAAACACAAAGATGGTCTTTGAAACACAAACTTAATCTAGTTAGATTTTTAAACTACAAACAAAAACAAATATGACATGAGGTAATGTAAATAAATGGATTACAGACAAGACAAGACCGAACAAGACTCAAAGACTCAAACTTGTTTCACTTAAAAAAAAGAAGAAAACATTTGAAAAAGAAGAGTGAATTTTGTCATCAGCCAGCGGTGCCAGCGCCCTCAGGAGCGATTAATTACAGGGACCCGATCCGTCAACTGCGCATGTGCGAAATGACTGCATTCGAAATATTTCGAACCTTCAAATGAAAATTTTAAGCGGTATCTTGCATTGTCAAATAAAAATTGTTTTGAATAGTTCCCTATTTACGTAATTAGTAAATATATCAGTGAACTGTTTTGAATGTGGTAACATTTTCTCAAATCAGTCTAAGCTTTCTACGCCGATGCAATGTGGAGAAAATGTGCATTTAAATAAGTGTTTGGATGATTTCCAGTAGCTTTTTTTCAAGCCGAAAGGACTTCTACATTAATGAAGTTTATTTTACAGAAATTATGAAAGTTGTTGGAAAAATACAAACACTCTATTTTTATGTCCGCCATTACTTCAGTTTTTTATGGAAGAGTATTGAAGAATTAAACTATTTTAAACACGTTTTAGAACGAGACAACTTTTGAAAACATTCACCTGAAGACAACGATTTTGCCAACCCATACAAGATTAACCCATGAACCGTAATATTATGTCATTTAAATTTAGTTCATATTTGTTTACTTTTAACAACAATAAATAAATTTAAGTTTATAATAATACTTATATAATAATTTATTATAATCCTTATCTTCAGTCATAAACATGTATTACGTTAAATATTTTAAACTATCTGGTGCAAAGTTAACAATTTCCATAAGATACTACAACAAAATAAATAATCTTGGAAGGTTAATAAATAATAAAAAGTCGTCAATATACATTAGGTTAATGTGATTTTCTTTCTTATTACTCAGAGTACAAGTTATTTATTCTCGATATTTTAGTTATGAATGTAACAAGTATGTACCTGTAGAAAGAAATATTGTAAAATTTCCTATTTTTATTCCTAATCGTTTTTATAAACTTGCTCAGATTTTTTTAGTTTGTAGATTGTCCCTCGTTGTCACTTTTGATGTCATTTAAAAAGATTGCACATGCGCAGTTGACGGATCGGTCCCTGTAATTAATCGCTTCTAGCGCCCTCTGCTTCCGTTTGCAAAACAAGATAAAATAATTTATTGTGCTGGTAAAAATCGTGTCAGTGATTATTTCCCGTCTTTATTAAAATTATCTATTTTAATGTTGAATTTTTTCATTATTAATGTAATGATATTTAAATAATTGCCAATAAAACTACAATTTATATAGAAATAACTTATTGTGGTAGTGCTATTTGAAAAATCTAGAAAACCACTTTGGGGGTATACAAAATGGACGTCATCGAGTCTAATCGCTAATTCCCGGTGAAAAATATTTTGTGGAGGTAAGATTATCACAATTTTGAGTTAATTATGTTCTTTCTTAATATCAAATATATTGAAGTGCAAAGATCAAGCAATGCATTCATTTTTGGTGTAATGCGCCATATTGATTTTACCGGAAATATTAATCTCAGTATTCCATTAAGGACTATCATTAAAGTATTAAACAACAAAAAATTATATCAGTTTCACATTATTGCCAAAAATTACATTAAAGAGAATAATCAATTTCATGACCTGTTTATCGATTTATTTGTACACCCATTATTGCCGCCCTTGAGATAAATGGCTTTATTAACCATGGAGGTGGCCTTCTGAAACTACCGTTTGTTCAATATTAATGCTAATTTTGGTTAGAAATATAATGAACATCACTGCATGTAGTTTAAAGCACAAGTAAAACAGGTAAATAGGTAAATTTATAAGAAAAATTATGAACATCAAGCAAGGTTTATTGGGGATATGTACTTACACATTTTTATTTTATATTCTTTTTTGTGTTTTTTTTTATTGAAATATTTAAGAGGACAATAGGACACAATTTCCAAAAAAAACTTAACAAACCATTTAGTATGAAGAAAATGCCCTAGTGATAATAATTTTGACAAAATCAATCATTAAAGTTAAAATATATTGTGAATATTTCATAGAAATAAATACATTTTCATAAGTAATATCCATTATAATTTTTGGACGATTTTCACATTTGGTCCCATTGAAGATAGCTTCAAATGGGTTTGACAGAATGAAATATTGGTGTTTCCCAGTGTTGAAATTTACATTACAAACGAAACATACGCAATTAAAAGCAATAAGATATTTAAAAACTAATATTTAACGATTACGAAAAAAAGGAAAAGCAAATAGTTTTAAAACAGTTTTTAACAGTAAATAGTAAAATGTCAGTATAAATAATAAAATTTAAAAGGCATTTGTTGCAATCTGGCAGCTGGTGGTTTGAGGGTTCTAACTCTATTGCCAAATCTATCCGCTAACCTACCAAAGGGCAATTGCTAAAAAAATTTTCTGATAATTTGTTACATTTAATATCAAACGAAACAAATATTACTTCATTAATATTTTATATAAGGTATAAAATTGCAGAATCCATAAAATAATATGATAAAAATGTACCTTTTAAAAGCTTTATCTCTTTATATTTGAAGCATATAACATATACATTATAATAACTTGGCAACACTGCCAACGCAATATTTCGTTAATGTGAAACTTAATTGACAGCCAACTTAGGCTATCTTCAATGGGACCAAATGTGAAAATCGTCCTAATTTTTTACTTAGAAGTTGTAGAGTGTAACTTACAAGTTTTATGTCATTATAATTTACCTCGTTTTTTAGACTCTTATCCTATTTTTGTTTTATTCCAGTTAAAATGGAAACAGTAAATTCACAGTTGTTGACCAAAGCCATAAACTTTCATGGTCAACAGCTGCAAAAGTTGTGGGAAGGTGAATTTGGAGAAAATGATTTGACAAGAAAAAATGTCAAAGATTTGAATTACAATGTGTATAGTCAACGGCAGAAGAACCTACCTTTTCAAGATAGAGGTAAACGGTTGAAGCTCCAACAGTTTTTGATAAAGAAGGCTAATCTTATCTATAGTTTGGAACCCTCCAAGCCAAAAAACAATGAGAAGACAATTACTGAAGATATGTATGCTGTTATGCCTCCTTTTGAAACTTACACAAGTGTAGACAAGCAGAAAAGAGTGACATTCTTCATGGAGGTATTTATATCACTTATTATTTTATGTTGTATAATTTTAATTTACTATTTTGTAGAATGTGAAAGTAGGTAATCTAATCTTGGGCACCATTGTGAGCAGGCAACAATCAGGAATGATGTTGAAAGTGTTGTGTACTACTGGAAATGGTAACACTTGTTTGTATGCTGCTGATATCAATGTCAAGGTAGGTTGATATTATAATATTCAACTTAGGTGGTGTTCAATGAATTTTCTTTACAGGCATTCTGTCCAGTTGCAAATGTCATTAACGCAGTGGACAAAAAGGGGGTATCACGCAACTACATGATGAATGACTATGTGTGTTGTGAAGTGCTTGAAATCATGCCTGATACAGATAAGCTAATATGTGGTATGATGGGTGTAACTAGGAAATCATCAGATCCAGAACATCGACCACCTCTAGGGCTTATTAGTACTGACGATTTTCCTCTTATATACAAGTAAGTATATTTCATTTTATTTTGTTGGTTTTTCTTAAATGTGCATGTCACCAAGGCACTGAATTTATACTATAAGCTATTTCTTTCAGGACTTAAATCTGCGTTTTGATTTTAGGAATTTGTTTTAATTTAAAAAGATTATAATTTCTTAATAATTTCAATTCAGAATAGATGTTCTGTTAATTTGTGCCATTTTTTTGAAATCAGATGGGTTTTTAACTTGTTTAAAACTACCTGTAGCAAGACTTACAATGTTGTAAATGGTTTTAGTTGCCAGTAGAAGAACTAGGAGATTCCTGTTGTTTTCTGCAGTGTTGTTGAAATAGCAGAACCATAGACTAAACTATTTTTCTCTTTTTAGACCTTTTGTCTTGCCAAAAATACAAAAAAATACAATAAAGGCTATGAGCAAATATTGTGTAAAAAAGTAGTAAAACTTGTTATGTTTAGCACTGTGGCAATATGCATCTAGAAAAATTTGCACTTTATGAACAATCACAAAAAGGTGAGGATCAAGATTTTTATCACTTGGATGTCTATATATTTCATGTGTATTTTTATTTATTTATTTTTAATTTTGTATGTGCAACCTAGTTCATGTGATGTATTTTTCGCAGTACAAGCTGAAAAATGCTCCCCAGACAAAAATTTAATATATATCGAGGATTTTAAACACACAGATGATTAAAACGCAGAATTTACTTTTGTTTATGTACCTTTGAGGAGATTTGTAATGTTTGACAAAAACGATATTCTTTAAAATTGTTTAAACAGGAACTTTGAAGAATTTCTCTACAGACCGGTATGTATATCTTTTCAGGGTTTTCTTTTCTAGCAATGTGTTAATCAAAAAGACAACAAAAAATGCAATTCATTATATAAAAAAAAGGAGATGATTTGAAACTGTTTTTGTAAAATATGTTTACTTTTGATTGAAAAAAAAAACAATGTACAACTAAAATGACAGATTTTTAGTGTTTTATGTTTGTATTTCCAATTTGTTTGCACTGGTTTAAAATATATCACTAATTAGTCTTTTAGTATATTCCATGTATTATTAAGTAAAAGTATGATGGATTGAACAATCTCACAATAGAGATTAATTGCATAGATTGGTCACAAATCCTGAGACATGCATATGGAGGAGTATTTGTAATGTTTGCTGCCAATTTACTACTAGATTACTAGAGTTGTTTGTGTTTTTCATGCAGCTTTAAATGGCAAAATATTAAATTTTCTGTTCTGAACAGTAGAAAAAGCAGTTGATTCTATCATTATAGAGTTATAGATAACCAATAGAAAGGTAGAAGAATGGTTACATAATGGAAAACTAAAAAATCAACTCATAAATAAGCCAACAAATTATGACAATCACAAATTTATTGAATTGAGCAAACCAAGAAAGGGGAAAAAGAGCTGCAAATCCTAATGTTGGCTACAAAACTCGTGGAGATACAAAGAAAAGACTGAAAAATGTTGAATATATCTTTCCATATAATTATGTCCAATGTCCTCGAAACACTTTCTTCTCACAATTTTTGATACTATACAACTGAACTACACTTTTTTCTTTATATATTTCACTACACAGTAGATTTTTGGTTTGTTGTATATTTATTGTAGCAATCATAGGCGTGGCCAGGTTTTTTTAGTGTGGGTTCCAATGCCATAATTTCCAGCAATGATATTTTCATATATGGAAAACAGTTTACAATTTATTGAAATAATTTTTTTAAATTCAAAATATATTTATCAGAACAGTAAATTTTTGAAACAAGTTACATTCGTTTTTATATTAAATTATTGCATGATCATAAGAAAAACATGGGTGGCCACTGTCACATTAAAATATACATTAAAAATTCAGATTGACTTTGACAATGGTATAAGTTTTTTAAAATCTTTGACACTAAGAACCATGATCAATCATAGATAAACAAAATGTAAGTGTCAATATGACATAATGATGACCAAAGCCGCCTCGTCATATTATGTAACTCAAAACTAATCATAATTAAAAAAGTCCTAAATTGTGGGTGGCAATTTAATTTGGCTCTAAAAAAATGAAAGAAGGCATATTTTAACATGAAACAAAATACACAATGCTTAGGAGACATGGTTGCAACCGAAAAATAAGGTTTTACGAAAATTCGCAAACGGAATTATTCCACAGAACGGAATTATTGCACAAAAAACTGACTATACCAAATTAAAAATTTATACAGTGTGCTAAAAAAATCATCAAAATATGAATAAAAATAAAAAAAAACTTAATTCTTTGAATTTGACAAAAATTTTCTGTTTATCAAAACTTCTTAATCTATAGCCATCAATATTTTTATCAAGCAAAATGTTATATCTCTGCGTTCAATTTTAAAATACCAATGGGATCAGCATTAGACATATCTATTACTTTTTAGTATATCTCATTTATTTAATATTACCCAAAATAGTTAGTGTGGGTGCCACGCACCCGCGGAACCCACTGTGGCCACGCCTATGGTAGCACTGTAAAAAGAAAAAAGTTCAGACAAATTTCTGTTCTTGTGGTGTTTTTTAGAATCAATTTGGTTATCGTTGTGTGAGAATATTTTTATATAGATCTTATTAGGTGTTAATACATTCTCTTATCAACAGGCACATGCAGAAAATTTGCATATATTTAAACGATATAACCTTGCTATCACACCTCTAAGAATTCTTTATAGCTTCAGGTGTCCTCTAACATTTCCCTAAAATTCCATCCATTGAGTCTGTTTTAATATTATTAAATGTACTTTGAATATTTGAACAATGAATTCTAAAAAAAATCTTGTTCCCTTTCTGGGACACTAATCCTTCTAGGACAAAGGAAGTGGTTACTGCAATTCTTTATACACCCTTTTACTTATACTTTTTTCTATGTACAGAATTCCACACATTTTATTGGAATGATTTCGGGGTTGGTGATTAGATGCTAACACCTGTGTGTATTGTTGTATCATCATTTCCATCCAAGATTTGTCCCTTGTTTTTCTTTTAGAGGAATTTTCTGTAGACAAGTATCTGCAACCCCAATAAGTTCTCATTCTCATGTCTCAGTTTCTTTATCATCGAAATACCATCCAAGCATACAGTGGTTAAAAATAATTGGTGCTTGTCCAATATTTTGATAATCCAGTTTACAGCTAAGAAGTTTTGAGTCATACTAATACTTCTTTTACTTTAGCATCTCAGATATTTAAATCTTTCTATATTTAAAAGTTTAAAAGATTTAAATTAGAAGTTGTTTTGTTTTTTTACATAAATTAAGATCTACAATTTTGTCATGTATTTAACTACAGGTATTTACTGGTTTTACTTTTCTTAATAAAACACATCAAAGTTAGTCTAGGTATTTCTAGGTAAACAAGGTCGAGGTTACAAGTTCCAGCATAAAAGTGGATCCAATAAATTTTGCAGATATGAATTTTGCAATTGTTAATTGAGTGGAAGACGAGAAAGAACCAATTTTTGATACACTAACAAAGCCTTGGACGAATTGTGTTTTTATTTCAGCGTTTTCAGGCTTTGATATGTGTTTTATAAGGAAAAGTACTTTTTGAAATATATTTTACAAAATATTTCTGCTGTGAATCGAATGTTGAACGGAACTAAGTCATCTTTGATGGTGGTAGCCAGATTCCAGATATGGATCGATAAAACAGTTTCGATGGTCCACTAACTGTCTTAAAAACAAGTTATTTTTCTAATGGATAATGACGCGTTCTAATCGGGCATAATTTTTTGGATTACAGAAAAGCGTTGGATCACAAGAGTGAGAGTTACGACAGTGTTTTAGAGAAGAGCGTCGGGTTCAATAACCCCAATAACATTCAATACCTCTCAGAACAGATGGACGTTAATAAACATCTCAGCTTCATCACAGGCTTAAAGTAAGTAATTTTATGAGACAAAAAAAAATTAGGATAGACTTATTTTACATTATTTTTTAACTACACACGCAGTCATAATATCCGGGTCACCTTGAAAATCACCGATAATTCATTTCTAACGAGCTTTATCGTCAATAATAATACAAATACAAACTAATGCATGTTTCTGAGAATTGATCGTTTTAGCGGTTTCCTTTGTAACAAAGAATTCCAATAGTGCCGATTTCGCGGAAAAGTGCACACTAGAGACCGACCGAATGTGATTTTTTTGGCCGAAGCCGATGCCGAAGTTCGGCCTGAAGGATACCTTCGGCCGAAGCCGAAGGTGACTAAAAATATACCTATTACCTATTATTTGTTAATAATTTAAATAATGTGCATTATATTTTATTAACTGATAAGTGATAAACAAAAATTAAAATTATGAGATAAAAAAGTCAAATATTTATACATTATTTGGTAATGGAAGCGATAATGAAAATAAATAACATTAAAAAACATTAAAGCAAGTGAGTATTTATGATTACTGGATCTGGTAGTTAATATTCGAAATCAAACATCCTTATATTATACGTAAGAAAAAGAAGCTTGTCAGCGTTTTCCTCCCAACAAATTAGTTCTTCTGTCAGCGTATAGTTGCCCAGCAGAGCTGAATAACTGCTCACTAGGTACACTCGTTGGTGGTGCCGATAGAAATTTTTTGGCTGCAGTTTTTAAAGAAATATAGGGATTTCATTCCCAATAATGAAATATGTCGGCACTTCTTAAAAGCAAAGCCTCTCGTAAATACGAATCTAGGTAATCTGCATTGGGATCGTTGTCGTTATGAATTTCTTTTGTTATATCTAGAACGGCTGTGACAAAAGTATCATGTGATTTCCAAAGACTATTGTTTTCTAGATCTTCTATATGTGTAGTTGTAGATGATGATGTTGAAGCGATAGCCATAGGAACTTTATTTGTATAACTAAACTTAGAAGCTATCATATTCACGTAGAAATTTTAAAATTCTTGCTTTACATGTAAATACTTCCTCGTCTGTCAAATATTTTGATTTAAAAGCGAGGATCCAGAAGAGTCGCAATTGACAATTCTGGCAAATTTGTAATATTAGCGAATCTTTTAATTAATGATTCACGAAGTCATAGCTTTAATAAACTTATCTCCTCAGAGTCCTGCTCTTTCGCAGAAACTTTACTATTTAGCATTTTATTAGTGGGATAACCAATGATACACAAGCAGAATCGGCTGAAAGATCTAGCGTCGCTTGGTAAAAACAAGTTAAAACTGAAATTAAATTGTTGATCAATTCCCATTCTGTTGAACTGGGAACTTCAATACCACCACGTTCAGCCATATACAAATTTATTGCAACTTTCTGTTCGAATAGCCGCTCCAACATTAGGTAAGTGCTATTCCATCTTGTTTCCACATCCTGAATTAACATATGCTGTGGCAAATTGCAAGTTTGTTGAAACTGCCTCAGGTACCTGCACGCTTGTTCACTCCTTTTAAAATGTCCCACAATTTTACGACATTTTTTAATTGTGTTTTCAATTAATTCCTGTTTTAATAAAGAATCATGAATTACAAGTTGTAATGAGTGAACCACACATCTTAGAGATGTAAATTGTGTAATACGAATAGCCGCGACCATATTTGCTGCGTTATCAGTTACAGCTATATGAATTTTGTTTTCTATTTTAAAATTTTTAATTTCATTAAGTTTACTTGCAATAAACATACTAGTGTGGTCATCATTAAGCACACTAGCGCCTAATATAACTTTAAGACGTTTTGAACCATGAACAAAGTGAGCTGTAAAACTCAAAAGAGAGCAGGTTTTAGCAGGATTGCTCCAAATATCTGACGTAAAGCTTATCCATTCGGCTTTAGAAACTAAATTTGATACTTTTTTTCCAAACTCTGTCATAGGTAGCTGGCATTAAACTAGTTCTAAAAAACTTTTCCGTTTTTTTTTCTGTATTTGGAAGTAACATTAGGATCTCCAAAATTTAAACGCTGAAAAGCTTCTCCTTCAACGATAGAGTATGGTAACATGTCGACAATAATAAGGTCCATGATACCCTTATCAATCCTAGATGATATCGAATGATCATCAGTCCATAGAGCAGTTCCATTATTTGATGTAGGTTGGGCTGAAATGTCCTGGAAACTGATTGTGTAACATCATGTGGAGTTTTCATATGTTCCAATTTTCGAACTTTTATTCCCATTTCAATGTCACAAAATGATTTAATTCTTCTGTATGAATTTTTTGTAGATGATTTTTAATGTTTGTAATAGTTTGTTTTTTAGGTATTAAACTGCCAAGCGATAATGACTTTGGACATAGTTTGCATGCAGCTTTGTTGCCACTTTTTTCAAAATAATCCCAAATTGGATTTTTTATTAACATTATCTAAAAACGTTTGAATTTACTAAAATTATATTAAAATAAATATTACAGACTTACCAAAAGTTATTTTTACAACACTAGAACAAAAACCTGAACTTATTTTGCAACGTAAATTATAATATATATATATATATATATATATATATATATATATATATAATATATATATATATAACATTAACGAACTCAGTTCGTTAATGTCTGTGTCACGTTTACGTTTTGAATCTTGACAAAGGCAAGGGTTTCCTGCCGAAACGTTGATTGATTGCAATGGAAAATAAAATCTAGTTCCACATGTAACATATCTTTATTGAACCTAAACCCAAGAAACATTAATTTTATATTATATATATATATATATATATATATATATAATATATATATATATATATATCACGGGTAAATAAGTACTATTAGCAAAGCTGCACCCACGAGAGAATAAACTTAAACTGTTGTAAAATATTTAATATTTGCATTCATAGTAGATGGTCGATGTTTTGCCATTTAGGTATCTATTCAAAACACCAGTAATCGTGAGTTTTAAACAAATACAATAAAATTATTATCATAATTTTCACTACGTGAGAAATATTCAAAGAAGATCTTTAAAACATCTTGGCCTATTGTTAAAATTTATATCCTACCTACTATTACCTGAACTGAAAGTTTGTAAAACGTTTTAGTTGAGGGTAGAAAATAGTGTGTAAATATTATTCAAATTATCAAAGACTCGCCGAAGCGTATTGTTCAGAGATTATTTCATTTCTATAGTCACCTTCGCAAAACCTTCGGCTTTGTTTTGGCCGAAGCCGAATTTTGGCCGAAGGTTTAAATATTGGCCGAAGCCGATGCCGAAGCCGATTAATCGGTCGGTCTCTAGTGCACACTTCCTAAAATGAATGGTAAAGTTTGTTTAGCAGTAAAATGGTTGACTTCAATTAGTACCGAATATAAACATCCTGGGTTAAGCGTTAATAGTATAGGCCCGGTTTCAGGTAACATTTAAATATGTTTCCTGGTAAAATTTGTCAATCTTCATTTCTTATTGTTGATTTAATCGCGTCTAATCCAAATTCATTAAAATTTCATTAATACATAAGGCTTATATTGACGAAACTGTACTGATAGAGGGTTTTTCGAATTCCATGGTAGTGCGCGACGGGTTTGCTAGCTAAATTTGTTTGTCTTTGTTTATCACGGGAAGTGTTAAGTAGTATTACGTTTTCTATCATTATGTGGCGTCCGTGGGATAATAATAATGGGGCTTCTTCTAGTGTTCCGGTAAAGAAGAAACATTTATCTGTAGAAGCAAAGCAAATTGTAAAAACTTTATACGGTACATTACTTAAAAGAGGACTTGTACAACTTAGAGTAAAAGAATTACATCAAATCCCATAGAAACAAGAGAAAAACGTAGATTCCAGTTTCACCAAATGTATGGACGAAGCCGATAAGGACTGGATACGTCGATACCATGTACGAAGAGCAACACATACCAAGTAACGGCTCAATATTGACGAAACCCAAATAAGCTGTAACCTCACCAGCTTATGGAAAATTTTGAAAAGTATGGGCTTTCGATATCGTATAATTGACAAAAGGTAAGTAATTATGGAATCTCATAGATTACAAAAATGGCGTTATGAGTATATAACTTCGATGAGAAAATTCCGCTCGGAAAATCGTCATGGTTTGACACACATTCACGGCGACCTAAAGGATTTGCCGATTCCTCCGGTAAATGTAAGACAAAAGCTCCGTCACATAAAGGGAAAAGAATAATGATTTTACATGCTGGATCAGAAAATGGGTGGGTCCCAAATACCTGTGGCTTTCTACAAAGAATATTAAAGACTTTTGCGTCAACTACCATGAAGATAGAACGGCAGAACTTTTGAAGAATGATTCAAAAATAATCTTATGCTAAACATTCCTCACAATAGCGTGATAGTAATGTACAATCACAGTCGCCAACTGAGGAAGGCACCAAACTCGAACAATACTAAATTGGAAATTCAAAATTATATAGAGACGAATGATATGTATTTTGAGGAATGTTACACCAAACAAGAGCTTTTAGAACTTTTAAAAGCATTTTCTATAAAAAGAATTATATGTATGATACATTGGCAGAGGAAATGAGACATACAGTGCTGCGGCTTCCACCCTATTATTGTATGTTTAATCCCATAGAACATATGTGCCACGAATTTAAGTCTAAGGGCGAGCGCCCACTAAAGTGACGTGGCAAGTAGCAAGAAGCACGCGTTTAGCATGTTACATAAAATGTAACCAATGAAAACGAATGATTTAGCGCACACCAAAATGATAGTGACGTCATTCATTCTAATAATTTGTTTGCATTGGTTCCATTTTAAAATAACAATGCTAGATGCCTGCTACTTGCCACTGACACGCCAGTTTGGTGGGCGCTCTCACTAACGTGAGGTCACAAAATATTTCTCCAACGTCAAGTAGTACTGTTGTAGAGTACTGTAATAAGAAAATGTGTCAATGATATTTGTCCAAGTAGTTGGAGAAATTCAGGCAGACACGTAATAAGTAAAGAAAATTCATATGTTCATGTAGATCATAATATAATTGAACCGATCATAATTAATTTAGATGAGGATAGCGATAGCGAAACAGAACTATGTGTGGAGTGATACTGTCATCAAATCTACAAATATTATTAAAAAAAACGGTCCTTTGCAAATCGTAGCAAATAAAATAGATTTAATTCATTTTAAAACTCATTTGAAAACATTAATTTCGAGTATATAAGGCAAAGCAATATATTTTACATCCGTTTTTTTCTCTGTTTTTGTCGTTGTAATTATTGTAAATTTTGTGGATCATTTGCTTTATTATATGAGTACCGTCTAGTCAGTGTTAATTGTCAAAATACCAACTCTGTTTTGCTTATCGCTCCGGACCTATCTTAACAATCTAAGTCAGATAAATTTAATAATATTTGCGTCGAGTTGCACAACTAGCTTTTGGTCGACAATACGCCCATTGGGGAATTAACGATTGGATCAAAGTGTTATTCTCAGGTGAATAATCCCGTTTCTGCCTAACTAGGTCCGATTGACGTGTTGTAAGAGTTTGGAGGAGAACCGGTGAACAATTTTCACAAGCTTACATTGCTCCCAGAATGCCATTACTTACTCCGTGGTGTTACAACCCTTCGTGGGTTTTAGCCGACTCGACAACATGCCTCCACTGTTTTCTGTCTCGATCAATCTCCATCCAATTCTTCCACGCCCATAGTGCTTAGGTCTCCTGCTATATTATCTCGCCACCGGAGATGAGGACGTCCGCGTAATCTCCTTCCAGTTGGGACTTCTTCCCACAACAGTCTTACTGTTCGTTCGTCAGAATGTCTTCTGAGGTGTCCTGCCCATTGGAGTCTTTTGGACTTTATTTCTTTTATGATGTTGACGCCTGGATAGAGTTCTTGGAGCTCTTTGTTAGTTCTTATCCTATATTGTCCTGGTGCTTCATCCAGCACAGCACCAAATATCTTCCTTAGAATTTTTCTTTCCCAAACACATAGTGCTCTCTTCGTTTGCCTTTGATATCGTCCACGTTTCGCTTCCATACATCACAACGGGTCGTATGATTGTTTTATAGACCTTTATCATCGTATGTCTTGTTAGTTGTTTCGATTTTATAAGGTTTTGGAGGACAAAAAGACATCTGTTGCCGGCCTGAATCCTGTTGTTTATTTCTTTGTTATTGTTGTTCCAAGATACTTGAATTCTCTAACGCGCTTAAAGTTAAAGTCATCGATGGTGATGTTCTGACCGATTCTATCTCTGCTTTGGTTATTGCGGCTCATATACATATATTTCGTCTTGTTTTCGTTGATTTGGAGCCCCATCTTCTCTGCTTCCTTCTCGAACCTCACGAAAGTATCCTTAATCGTGTGTTTCCTATTAGATCGATATCGTTTGCAAATGCCAGTAGTAAGTTTGGTCCTTCTCGATGAAATACTGTATTCGGTTTTTCGATTCTTGCACTTCTGATTATGTGCTCCAGAGCTAAGTTGAAGAGTTGTGGTGAAAGTGCATCTCTCTGTTTTAGTCCATTGTTTATTTCAACTGTCTCCCGAGTATTGCTGTCCAACTCTCACCTTACATCGTAACCGTTCCAAACACATCCGTATCAACCTGACTAGTTTTTTTTTTTTGGAAAGCCAAGTTCCTGCATCGCTTTCCACAGTCTGGCCCTGCATATTATATCAAATGCTTGTTTAAAATCTATGAACATCTGATGAAGCTCACGATCAAACTCCTAGCATTTTTCCATTATCTGTTTTATTGTCAATATCTGGTAAATAGTAGAGCGGCCCGGTCTAAATCCGCATTGATAATCTCCTACGATTTCTTCTGTGTATGTTTTGGTTGGTGTTTCATTTTTTGTGTATTGGTACAATAACCCCTTCTTTCCATTCATCTGGCATTGTTTCTTCTCGCCAAATGTCTTGAATTAGCATAGATATAGAACTGTACAACGCTTCTCCTCCATGTTTTAAGCACTCTGCGAGTATACCATCGCTACCTGGTGTCTTATTATTTTTAAGTTTTTTTAATTGCCTGTATTACTTCTTCGTATGTCGAGTATTGGTCTTCTATTTCAGCTCTTTGTTTGATGTATTTCTGCTAGATTGGTCGTTCAATAGTTGATAGAAGCATTCTTTCCAGGTTTTTAGGATTTCCTAAAGAATGCCATTGGGGAGGTTTATCTTACAACTTCCGAAGAAAAATTGAGAGTATGCCCCGTAGTCCGCAGGATGTTATTAGAGCAAGGGGAGGCAATACACATTATTAGTTTTTGACCAGTTCTAAATTTTCCTTTTTTTTTTCGTATGTCTTTTTCAAAACAAACATTGATGACAAATAAAAATACACTAAAAAGGGCCTAAAAAAAGGGTATTGCTGCACTAGAGGCAAAACTATTCAAGAAACTTGAAATTTTCAAGGTGACCCGGATTTTATGATCACGACTGTATTATAATTTATAATACTTGAGTTTCGTCGAGTATGGGTGTTTGTTTACTAAACCAGTGGACTCAAATTGATTAATAAATAAATGAATAACAGGTTCAACAAATATGGCCGCTTCCGAACTGTTAAAAATTCAGAAGCGTTTATTTTAAGATCACTTAGTAGTTTATCCTAATTTTTTATATATTTCTTCTGGTGAATTCACGTATTATAAAGAATAATTTCTAGGTACAGGTTCCCGGAAAACGAGTATGCCATCGAGTTAAGACAAGTCCAGGCCAGTAAATGGGCTTACCGCAATGTAGCAGACGGCATAGATCATTTTAAGGCGGGAAAACACGTGGAAGCGTTCCAATGTCTCAACAAAGCCCTCAATATCGATCCCAAGAATGTCGAAGGCCTTGTCGCGAGAGGTGCGCTTTATGCTAACAGCGGAAATTTCCAGAAGGCCATTGAAGATTTCGAAACTGCATTGAAACTGAATCCTAATCATGGAAACGCTCGAAAGTACATGGGAGAAACTCTCGTCGCTTTAGGAAGGAGTTACGAGGAAGAAAATAAAATAGAGGAAGCGAGGAAAGCGTATCAGAGTTGCTTGGCCATCATTCCTTACCACGAAGAAGCTCAGAACTCTTTGGATTTCTTAAAATCTAAAGTTCAACCAAAAAATCTCATCGAACCCACTGAGCTTTTACTGCCAAGTTTGAATGTGCCCTCCAAGCAAACTGACATGAATGACGCACTTAAACAACTTCTAAAGACCGAGGAGGAAGACAAGAAAGATAAGAAAAAGAAAAAGAAGAGCAAAAAGCGCAAGAGTCGAAAACGCTCCAGTTCCAGTTCAAGCTCGAGCTCGTCGGCAAGCGGAGAATCCTCCTCGAGCTCGTCTAGCAGTTCCAGCGACTCGAGCTCCAGCTCGGGCGATTCCGATTTTAAAAAGCGCAAGAAGCACAGATCGAGGTCTCACCGGCGTAAAGAACGTGAGAATTCGCTCAGTCCTTTGAGCAAGAGGATGGCTTTGATGGACCAGAGCCACGATACCCCCAATACTAGTTACAATTTCAACAAACCGGCCACCTCCAGCTTCGAGTTTAGCTTTGAACATCCTGAGCCATCTAAACCACCTGAGAACGAATATGAAAATAAATGTGAGTATAACTATTAATGTACATAAATAAAAACTTGAATTAGTTGATAATATGTACAGGGTTTCTCATTATATTTTGACCTCCCACTTATTTTCCTTAATTTCGGGAATACAAAAAAAAGTTTCAAATAAAAGTTGTGCTATTTTATCTGTACTGACCAATAGTATAGCAACATACTAAATTTTGTATACAGGGAGTGCCCAATAAAATGCATCTTCATATTTCAAATGGGACATCCTTTATTTTTGTATAGTTTTGAGTAACCCTGCATTTCCTGATCACAAATATATAACATAGTGTAGCATTAGTTTTGTTCTATAATGGCGTATGATACTACTATACTATACTAAGATAAGAAAAGAATATATTTAGAAAGTCAACAAAATTAATGACTTACAATACTACATTTAAGATTACAGTAGGTGCTCAAAGTGTCCTCCATTGTTATCAATGCACAACTAATATCTTCGTCTGAAATTTTCAAATTCGTCAGATATTGTGTTATTATGACCATTTAAATTTTCAATCTTGCCCGAATTTTTGCCGTGATACTGTTAATATATATATGTATATATATATATATATATATATATATATATATATATATATATATATATATATATATATATATATATATATATATATATATATAAGCGAGGTTCCTACAGCCTCTGCCGTTTCTCGCATTTCGACCGCCATAGTTTTCTGTCCATCCATTCGTCTTCTCTGATGGCTCTATCTCTCATTTTGTGTCGTATATTTTCTTCCCAGGCAACTGAAGGCCTTCCCCTTCTTCTTCTTTGTTGTGGTATGTAATTTAAAGCTTTCTTTGGCCATCTATCTTCATTCATTCGTTCGTTAATATTTGTATTTAAATTAAAATACACTTTTTCTTTTAAAAACCCCCATAAAAAGCTATCACATGGTGTTAAGGTCGTGACTATTTGGTGGTCATGTAGTGGTACCCCTATTGCCGATCCACACATTAAATTGATTATTTAAATGTTCTTGAACGGCTACGACATTATTTCACTATTTCTCCACTATTTTTTAAATAATTTTAAACCGTTTGTCCTTGTTTAGTGTAGTGTTATGTTCAATTGTATGTTTAATTCTAAGTATATGACATTCTGCAATTGTTGGATAGCCCAAAATTTGATGAAATGCCTTGAAGATGCTCTAGGAAGCGAAAGTACTTGGGCAAGATTTAATTAATAAAAACGGTGCTCGATATCTGCCTTTTATTTTATCAAAGTTCATTTTGAAATGTCAGTTGCATAGCCACCTATGGTTACCCTTTTGTAGTACCATATGCCTTTATAGAACAAAACTAATGCTACACAATGTTATATATTGGTAACCAGGAAATGCAGGGCTACTCAAAACTAAAAAAATACAGGGTGTCCCATTTGAAATATTGAAGATGCATTTTATTGGACACTCCCTGTATGCAAAATTTTATCTGTTGCTACATTTTTAGTCGGTACAGATAAAATAATACAACTTTTTTTTTGTATTCCCGAAATTAAGCTAAATAAATGGGGGTCAAAATTTAATGAGAAACCCTGTACAATAAGCTAATCGGCTTCAATGTGAACAGTTTCTCAACAAAAAATGCTCCCAAAATTGTTATAGGATACGTTGGCAAATGTAGACACTTTTCCTTAGTAGGGACTCCATTGAATAATAGGTTTTCTTTACTTGTTGTTAGGGGGGGGGGGGGGATTCCCACCCTTTATCATTTAAGCATTTAAAATCTTATAATATGGATATTGTGCGTCTTCTAATAAATTTTATCTATTTCTCATTTTCAATTTAGCACAGTATCTTCCATTTATGATTCCGTTTATTTCGGCACCTTCTGAATGCTCCTGAAGGGATACGCTGATGGTCTGTTCAGTATATGCATTAAATATCAAGGTTGGCATGTTTTTGTTTTTACCAAATGTCTTCTTTCCGGCAGATTCAGTATTGAGTTTGTTGTCCACAGTTTTCTCTGTCTAAAGACATCTTTGCATATGTGTGGATCTGCTGCTGCACCCAGAACCAGGTTTTTGAATGTTTCTCAAATGCCTTCGATGTTTTCCTTATTGGTTTATCTTTATTAACAACTATACAACTATTTACAACAATATGCTTTTAAATTCCTGGTTCCCAGATCATATGGCCAATGATGTTTTTGACTTTATTCGTTCAAATGCTAGAGATTTTAGCATTCCACTCTTCCATCAATATGTCGAATGTTGAACGATTTTATTTAATCACTCGCTCTCATAATAAAATTGTACAAACTCTTCCTCTTTTCTTTACAGTTGGCTGTTTATTCAACAAACGGTTGTTCATTTAGCCTTAACACCATTATTTTGAAACTAATTGGTCAAAAAACTGTTATTATCTTGTTTTAGAGTAGGTGTGATCAGTATTTCCACTTACAACTATGCATTATGTTTTTCTGGGTAATAGAGAAAATTCTATTTGTTGTTTCAACATAACTCTCTTCCTTTCTGTCTTACTTCACTCGTTTCAAGAATGTCTCACTCCCTCCATTCTTTTAATTTCGACTTCAGTATTTGTTAGTTTGTCAGCTTTGTATGCAGTTGTAACGTTCCAGGTTACGATTTTTATTTTCTCCCCAGGATTCTTAGCACCCCTTGGCGACTGAACTTGGAACCTGGAACTAGCGGCCAAATTGTGTTTTTGATTTTTCATTGTCTTTAATAAGAGTTACTCCTTCTTCCTTCTATTCGTGAAGAACAATATACGTTAGGATTGGTAGATTAAACTTCACAAACTCTTAATTAAAAAGCTTAACAGTTTTCCTTCATCGTCGCCCTCTTAAAGCGAATTGTATAAAACTTCTCTGTTTGACCTTGATAATTTATGTTTAAAGTGAGAGCCTTCCTGGACCAAACCAAGGGCGATTCCGACTACGAGGACAAACTGAGAAAATTCCTGGAAGAGACGAAATGGAAGAAGGGCAAGGGCGAGGACAAAAAGAAGAAGAAAAAGAAAGAAAAGAAGGCCAAGAAGGAAAGCAAGAAAAAGAAGAAGAAGGAAAAGATGAAGAGAAAACAGAGCTTTGATTTGAGCGAATTGGACGACCACAAGAAGCTAAGGGACGCCATTAAGAAGGAATTGAGCAAAGAAAAGAAATCGAAGAGGCACAGTCTGCCGTCTGAAGACGACGAGTACATCTTGCAGAAGTCTGGTTACAGCAAGAAGTAAGTTATTTTTGTTTTACTTATTTGTAAATGTATCGATAAGTATTTGAAACTAATTTGGGATATCTTATTGAAATATTTTCGTTTACAATTTTTCAAATAATTTTCTTTCTGATGTTTTATTCATTGACGCTATCATTGCTTTTTATGTTAACTAGGTATGTTGTTTGGGAGCGATTTTTGGTAATTTTGGTTTAACTAACGTTTTGGGGTCGTATGGGGTCTTCATTTTGTTTGTATTGTAAAGTTATTTACAGCATCTTACAGTTAATTTAAATCCTAAATAGTATAGTAAATTTAAATCACTAAATATATTTAAGCCACACGGTGCTACGCTAAATAATAGAGCCAAATGCACAGCGTTTTGTTAATCAGGCCAATATGTGGTTAAATTATCGGAATATTATAATTTGTGAATATCTTTTTTCATTTGACTCATTTTGTAAGATTATTAGTGTATAGTGTCGATGTATCAGTCAGTGTTCCAAGTCTTTGGAACCACTGCTCAGTATTTTTTTTAACCATTTTCATCTTCTCTAATCGGGATTTCTACATGTGTGTTGCGCTAGGCTCAAAACTTATTGAATTCCAATAAAACGCAGATTTTATTAACAAAAGCTATGCCCATTTTCAATACATTCCTGTGTTAGCTAAATGCACATATGAGATAACTTCGTTTCCGCTGCTGGAATCGATTGAATCAAATTTGTATGTTGTTTTAAAGATCTCTCGAGCTTGGAAATCAAGAAAAATCTACATAATCTAGATCTGCTTAGTAGAGGGGTTGAGGAATGACAATCTTGCCGTTTTTGGTACAAAAATCGCAAGTCAACAAGAATGAACTGGTCATCATCATCTTAGCTCTACAATCCATATTGGGTCTTGTCTGTTCTAGGATCAGCTTCCATTCCTTCCTATCATTCGCCTTGGTTTTCCAATTTTGTACTCTTAACGCTCGTATGTCCTCTTAACCTGGTATTTATATTATGCTCTGGGCCTGCCACTTCTCACTCCATCCGGTCTTTGGTTATGTCTTTGGAAATGTGTTTTGATGGCTCCATCTAGTTCATTAATTTTTATGTAGCCTAGCCACTGCAGCCTGTTTATTTTGATGCACCTACCAATACTAGGTTCACTATAAAGGCAGTAAAGCTCAAAATTATAGAATGAACTGGTGTTGCAACCAATTCTAATTGGATCACAGCTCTAGTTTCTCGCAAGTTTATCAGCTTGTGAAAAAAAAAAACAAAAACATCTTGTTGCCAGTGATAATGCGTTTCAAAAAATTGTCTCAGTGTTGTTTTTGCTTCACGAAACAAAGTTAGCTACACGGTGCTATGCTCGACAATACTGGCAACTGCACAATGCAAAAGTCCTGAAACACAATGATCACTTCTCGTACTACAACGGTAGTACAAATTCCAAGTCTTTTAGGTGTGTAATATTGAAGGAAAAGTGATTGCAACAAGCTGTCCTAATACCGGCTATATTCTTAATTTACTTATCGCTCTGTATTTGTATTTAACTGTATATTAAGATAATTCGATGTCAATATTCCAAACCACATTAGTTCTATATTATTTTCACTTCACATTTTTTCTGAAAAATGTCATTCGAAAACTCCTTAAATGTCATGTGGTTTGTTAATTTTTATTAAATTCCAAAGGGCCATAACAAAATATCACAAAAAATAACACATTAAATGAAAATCGAAATATTTTGCTCGCACCGGGTCCCATTTTATTTATAGTACTTGTTGCTCCTCATATTCTCTTTCTCTCCTAAAACTGTGCCTAAAAATCATACATCAGAGAATGTAGTGAAAATGCACTCGGTCCTGGGACCAGAGAAATGTTCAGCCTATCGATTCTTCTAGGGAATTCTAACGATCAAAGGAACGACATCTACATTTGCTTCACAGATTAGGTAAAAGCTTTAACTGGGAAATGCTCCGAATTATAGAATATTCTAGAAACGACATACAATCTGTTTCACATCTATATGCACTAAGAGCTGTCAGTAAGACTAGAACTAAAGAAACACATATTGACTGCGTAGCAAGAAGAGGATATCCATTCTGTCCAATTATTATTCAGAATAGATCTTTCAATGAGCATTAGGACATGCAAAAGGCCAAAAAATGAATATGGTGACCACTTCGCTAAGTGGTCGCAGCCTCAGAATAACAACCATCTACAATGAACAGTACAGGCTTTCAAAATGTATGTTCCTGGCCAAAGAACATCCTTAATTGGACATGACTTGGCATATACACTGCACTGAGTTCGTCGAAATTAGTGCTAACCTTCACTGATATAGACGGCACTCTCCATGTATTTATATGTTGCTAGTAGATGAGTAAGGTTCGTTCTGGCATCAGAATCAAGTTTTGTCGGGTATGTTCGGGTCGTGATCCTGATCGTTGCTGGCACTTCGTGTCGGAACGTGAGCTTACGTATCCTCTTGTCTCGAAACCACATCACCCAACAATGGTGCTTCGAAAACGATCGCGATCAGACGTCACGAGGGCGTTGCTATGCCACCATTGGTTGGGGGTGTGGTCTCGAGACACGAGAATACGTAAGCTCACTTTCCGATACGAAGCACCATCTTCAAAAACGATCACGACTGAAGTTACCCGATAAAACCCGATTCTGATGCCAGAACGAACCTTACTCATCTACTGTTGCCAATATCAATAATTTTCTCGACAAAATCTTCGCGAGAAAGAGAATTGATGGCGACAAACTGTTTTGCTGTTTTAAAGATAAATGCGAGCAATTGTCCATTACTCATTGTAAACGATTATTTTTTTCGATTGAATCTTTTGTTACTGATTAAATATTGGTTTAAAACTATCAAACCTTTTTTAAAATGTACACAAAATAAAAATAGAAACTGAAATCATCGACAAAAACTTTTTATATCTATCGATCGTATAATTTTTTTCGGTGGTTTATGAATATTTTCTCTGTAATTTTTGTTTCAGATTTATTGATAGTTTACCGGATTTAGAAGAGTTAGAATCAAAATTAAATGCATATTACGCATTCGAGAAGGACAGTAAACGGTACGTCTTTTTCAAATCAATTGCGGTAGTTGAACATATATTTTATTTCTTGTGAAGTATGCATGACATTTTTGTTTTCTTCTCGTTTTGTGTTTTTTTAGTTTTCCAAGGCATGCTTGCCCTAAATATTTTTGATGTCTTTTATATTAATAATTAACTGTCATAAGTAGATCCTATAATATACTAACAATTTTATAATAAAATGAGACATTTGTTGGTCTCTGAACGGAAATAAGCTATATGGCTCTCTAGAAAATGCTTCATTCTACTGTTTTATGTAAATATAGGTCGTACCATGGATCTTTACGTTTATCGATTAGTTGTGCCCATCAGCAAAAAAGTTTATGATATATACTCTCCACTTTTCTTTGTCTGGGGCGGTTTTCGAAATACATAGATAACTAGCAATTTTTTTTACGATACTTTCATTAACAGTAACAAAAAGAACTTTTTATATTGTCTGGCTCAACTTAACATTTTTTGTATTTAAATGAAATATATAATATACTCCATTCACTTTGCTGAGGCATGTTTCGACAGATTTATTGTCGGAAACCTACAACACAACAATTCCTACTTCTCAGTATTAATAGCTCAAGTATACTACTATTGCAGACTTCTTTCTTTGAAACAAGAATTATTCTAAATAGTGGAAGTGTATACTAAACCCATCAAATTTTGGGTAGTATTTATTTAAAAAATATATTTTAATTGTTATAATTTAACATAACTATTTATTATATGGTGCAGATAAATAAATATTGATAGTCGGTAATTCGCAAAGTTCTATTTTATTTACTATTTAGTTTGTTTACTATTAGTATTGGCTATGAGTACGTGTGCTTGGTTGTATAGTAATTTCCAGCCACTTTTTGTCTGTCAAGGCTTTAGATTAGAATCCTCCTGCATAGACCACATTAATACTGTGAGGCTAATAATGGAACAATCGGCTGAATGGAACACACCCCTATACATGGTTTTTTGTTGATTTCGAGCGTGCTTTTGACAGCTTATCTCATGATGCGATATGGAAAATTTTAGAGCTAAGAAACATCCCGCATAAAATAATTTCCATTATAAAGTTACTGTACACTGAAGCGAAATGCAGCTTGACACACAATGGATCAACAGTGACGAATTTGACGTACTTACTGGAGTCAGACAGGGATGCGTGCTTTCTCCGTTTCTTTTTAACATAGCTCTAGACTATGTTCTCTCCAAACTAGACTCTGACACAAGAGGGATACAATGGACGTTAACCACACGCCTAAGCGATCTAGAATACGCCGACGATATCTGCCTGTTAGGACAAAGGTTCCAAGATGTGGCTGACCAATTGGAAACACTTTCCACTGAAGCCAATAAAATAGGTTTGAAAATCAATATTGGTAAAACCAAATCCATGAGAATAAATGCAAGAAACAACACGCTATTCACCATTAATAACATGCAGATTGAAAATGTGGAAAACTTTACGTATCTTGGAAGTGTCATAACAGAAAGCGGAGGTACAGAAGACGATATTCGTATGAGGATATGAAAAGCGCAACAAGCTTTCAGCATGCTCAACCCTGTTTGGAGGTCTGGAGACTACACTACGAGGACAAAGATCCGCATATTCCAGTCAAATGTCATGTCTGTACTACTTTACGGATGTGAAACCTGGAAAGCGACAAAAACCTTACAGACAAACTGCAGGTCTTTGTTAATAAATGTCTACGAAGAATTGTTCGTATCTTCTGGCCTAACATCATCAGAAACGAAGATTTACTACACCTGACCAAACAAAAGAGGGTAGTAATAAAGTCCAGAAAGTGGGGTTGGATCGGTCACACACTCCGAAAAAATAACTCCAGTATTGCAAAGACTGCCCTAGAGTGGAATCCCCAAGGAAAACGAAAAAAAGGTCGCCCAGTACAAACTTGGAGAATATCCATCATGGACGAGATAAGAAAACAAGGAAAGTCTTGGAATGAGGTGAAGGCCTTAGCGCAAAATAGAACCCGATGGCGCGTTTTCACTGAAGCTCTATGCTCCACTTAGGAGTTCAAGAACCTTATATATATATATATATATATATATATATATTTTTGTCTGTCAAAAAGTAAATAACTTCGCAAAAAATAATTACTTAATACACTAGACAGTTCGGAATGGGAATAGCGAACCGAGTATATGATATAATTATTGTCAGATAGTTAGATGTCCTTTTCATAGAATTTAAAAAAAATGAAATTTTATATTGATTTTTCTATCGAAAATGGAACATTGCAAGTACAGCTGTCGGAATGAGAAATCCTGTCTGCGCAAAGTTTTGGTTTCTGTATGACAGAGAAAGTATACGGAAAAAAAGAAATAGAAACTTTTGCTTGCATCTTCCTTCTGTCAGTAATTGTACAACAAGAATTGTTTTCATTTTTACAAACGCATTTCGTGCTATTTCTATCCTAGCTGTTTGATCATTATTGTCTGAAATCCAGGTTTCTAGATATTTGTATTTATCAACCCTTTCTATCGGTACATTTCCCAAATGTATGTTTGTTGGTATATTTGTTTTCTTTGTTATTATAATGTATTTGGTATTGTTTATATTCATTTTTAGTCCATATTTTTCACAGAAACTGTTTTGTTTAGCAATAACTGGACATGTTCAGCAGACCTTGCCATAACCACGGTGTCATCTGCATATCTTATGTTGTTAATAGATCTTCCGTTAATTATTATTCCTTCACTTTGAGATAGTAATACTTCTTCAAATATGGCTTCACTATATACATTAAATAGTAATGGGAACATAATCATTCCTATTTAACTCATCTCCTGATTTCAATTTCTGGACTGCGTAATCACTCAGTACGTCTGTTGAAGGATTCTGTCGAATTTGATATTTTCGAACTTGACATTTTCTTATAGTATTTAACACAGTGGTTGCTACCGGATTAAGGTTGCTTCTATATTAGAATATTAAAAAAATTAGCATAAAAACCTTGATAAGAATTTATTCGTGAGGCTTCATAATGCAATAAAATTTTAAACTATATAAATATTCCAATAAAATCTCGACACCGCGAACTATTGCGATGCGTGCCCTCCTTATCTACAATACTAAAATTTCAAAATGTAGATAGTAGATAAATGTTGATAAGACGTGAGGTTTTTTACTTATCACTGTTGTGATTAATGTGGTGTATTACATTGCGATAAATTATATTTGATTTCCAACAATATTGTGTATAAAGTAAATTCAATGAGTGAGTATTCATTATTGTTGGTATATAATATAATAGTATTTATGTTCGGGTAGTGAATCCGATTAATATGGTATTAATATGGCTGTCAACGGGAGATCTTTCCGTGTTTTGAGTATTATTTTTGCATATCTATTATCAATCCTGACAAACGTTATATCATACCTATGGAATCTTATGTTTAATAATTATTCCCCTTTAATTTTTAATCATTTGAGTGCTCGTTGCTCAGTATTACATCTACCCCAGATTTTTTAGTATTTTTTGTGTGTTTACTTTGAACACACCTAAAATGTTTAAGTCATGTCATTCATATCATACACAAAGTCATTAGCAAATTTTGACAAATTCGTGTTTATAGATATGTTTTTGGGACAAAACCATCTAAATTATTGGCCTCCCGCTTGAAATTTCAGACATTTTAAATAAGGTAAACTTAAAAAGTCAAAAAATCAATAGATTTTGTCTATAGTCGAGATAGAAAAAGGCTAGTGCAGTCACATTTAAGCTTTTTTGACAAAAAAAAAACAGACTGCCGAAATATTTTTCGTTCGCAAAATACATCCAGTAAAATGTTTTTATTTATCAATTATCTTCTGATCTTTTTTGTTGAAAGAAATGGTGTTCCATGTTGCTAATCTTATTGTAGACTTATTTTTCCTCCTGTTATCTTTGTTCTTGCATGTTTCGTCATTGTGGGATCCATCGAGTCTTTATATCAATGGGTAGATTTCTATCCTCATTTCATTTATCCGGGCTTGGGACTGGCATGAACACGGCTTCTGACTTAATAAATTCACCCAGTCCTCAAACTCACGAAGAAAATACACAAGCAGACTTAATAATACCACGAGATATCTTAACGATACAATCGGAAAGAACAAGCACCTTGATGATCAAAGAACATATGAGTGATAATTTTTATAAACAATTCTGCTTGTTCATTGGTGGATTAATACCTCTATGAAAGGTTGTAACTCCATCTATTGCGCGGTCGTCCGATACTTCTTCCGCCGATTGGTGACTTATCTCTTGCTATTTTGACGACACGGGTCTCCCCCATTCTGCTTATGTGGTTATTCCATTCTTTTTTATATTTTGTGTCCATTCATCTATACACATTCCGTTACATTTTCTTCTAATGTCTTCACTTCTCAGCGTATTTCCTGTAATTTGCGTTGTAGCTGTATCGGTTCTTGTTTCTGAGGCATATGTCATTATTGATCTTACAGTGGCTTTATAAATTGCTGATTTTATCTCAGTGTTAATGTGTCGGTTTCGTCATATAGTGTTATTGAGGCATCCTGTCAGTCAATCTGCTTTTTGTACTTGATCTCTCACTTTTATATTATTCTATCCCTGTGATGTGCCCCATCCCTAAGGACATTGGCGATCATCATGGCCCACTTGACTGTATCTGCAGCTGTTCTGAAAAGTTCTATTGACGTTTTCCCACTCCATTGTCTCAGATTCTTCAATCAGGACGTGCTTCTTCTCCCCGGTCCTCTTTTGTCTTTCACCTTCTTTTGTAGAACCAGCCGCATCAATTCGTATTTCTCGTTTCTTAGAGCTCATTTTTTTATAGTGTTTAGTATTTCATTTTCTTTTTTCATTCTTCGTAGCGTTTCCGCATGTGTTATGTGTTATGTTCAAGATATTTTCCACATTCTTCGATAACACCACATTTTAAAGTTGTGAGTCTTTTCTCTGTCGTCTCTGTAATTGTCTATGCCTCAACTCCATACAACAGGACAAAGAACACGTAGCATCTCAATACTCTAGTTTTAATTTTAATGTTGAGTTTTCCATTGCGTAATATTGCTTTCATCTTATTAAAAGCACTTCTAGCTATCTCAATACGCCGTTTTATTTCCGTACTTCAATCCCATTCTTCTTTTAGTTCGCAACCTAAGTACTGATATCTGTGCACCCTGCCTAAAAGTTTTCCTTTAGCATAAACACTGTCTTCCTCAATATTGTTCTTGCTTACCACCATGAGTTTTGTTTTATTTGTATTCAGTGCCATTCCATACCTTTCGCAGTGTTGGGTAATATGATCAACCAAGATCTGTAGTCTTTCTCTGTTGTCCGCAAGGAGTATTCTGTCATCTGCGTATCTAAGATTATACAGACGTGCTCCGTTAATAAATATGTCTTCATTTACGTCTTCTAATGCCTCTTTGAATAATTCTTCTGAATACATATTAAAAATTAATGGGGAAAGTACACATCCTTGTCTTAGTCCACGATTTATAGATTTCTTTTGATTTTTGCTGGTATATTCGTATTATGCCTTTCTGATACCGGTATAGATTCTCACGTCTTAGACATCTAGTTCTGTGTTCTGCAGTATTTTTGCCATTCTTCGGTGTTGTACTTTGTCGAAAGCTTTTTCGAAGTCGACTAGACATATGAATACGTCGCAATTGACATATCGACATCGTTCGATTAGCGTTAGTACAGTAAATCATGCTTCTCTGGTGCCAAAGCCTTTTCTGAATCTCAATTGTTTTTCAGCTATTCAATCATTTAGCTTTTTATAGATACGTTCTTGTATCTTTTACACTTTTAGAATATAGTTCCTAATTGTCCTATGCTCTTCACACTTTTGCGTTTGATTTTTTGGATATTGGAATGAATATTGATATTGACCATTCTTTCGGAGTCTCTCCCGTAAAATAAATGTCATTAAATAATTCTATTGGTGTGCCCATATTATTTTTTGTTGATTATGTTAAGATTTCTGTAGATATTTCATCTGGTCCCATGGCCTTCTCATTTTTTATACGTTTTAGCGCTTTCTCAATTTCGTCTTTGGTGATTGGTGGCCCATTTCTTCCTCTTGGTTCAATGACTCAAAGCTCTTTTATGTAATCTTCCCATCTGTTTATTTTATCTGTCTTCTTCTTGTAGTGCCTATCCGTTTCGGATTTTTGGCGACCATCATGGCAATCTGCACTTTGCACACTGCTGCTCTAAAAAGATTTGTGGTTGTTGTGTTGAACCACGTTCGTAGATTTTTCAGCCAGGAAATCCTTCGCCTTGTGGTCGGTATACGATATCTTCAGGATGCGACGATAAAGCCACATTTATCTGTACATTCCGTTATTATCTTGTTATTTTTATTCATGATATTTCCGATACCCTTCCTGGTATATACCAGCTGTCTCTTTGATTTTTCGGTGTATGTTAAAACTGTCATGTTGTTTATCTAACCTTTCTATTTCTTCACACTTTTCTGATAGCCACAATTCCTTAGCTTCTTTGATTTTCTGTTTGATTATTTTTTTAATTGTTTTGTATCAGTTCTTTTATCCCTTGTGTGATCCATTTTGTTTATTTTTAGATGATATGTCTTCTTGAAGTTTTTGTTTTGTGATATTTCTTAAGATCTCCTCTACTTTTCTCCGTTTGTCTATTGCTAGCAATTGCTTTTGCCTTTCTACTACCTAAACTTCTTTGTGCACTTGTTCTCTGATTTGTTGGTATATATCAGTTTCTTTTAGTTTTCTCAGATTGATTCTCGGTGTTTTGGCAGTTGTTTTTAGCTTTTTTCATAACTTCAGTTTCATGTTTACTAGAACTAGATTGTGGTCACTTGTTATATCTGCACCCGTAATATCAATTCTAGTTGGGTTTCAGAATATCTCGGCGTATTTGAAATATTTCAATTGTTTTAAATAATAGGTGCACAAATAAATTTTGGCAGAGTTTTCAAGGTTACAATTACCACACCCGCCCTCAATGATCGGCGTTTCACAGTTATAGAAAATTAAGATATTCTTCGATCAGGGAGCGACAGTTTTGAATCCGAATATTCACACGTTTAATTTTGATGATGTAACGAAAAATAATATTTTTTGTCGTCAAGTACATGTATTAAAAAAAGGGGGCATTGAAAAAAGGCTGCTAGATGGTTCATATATATTCAGGAAGGAGGAAACGGATATACTAATAATACTAACAGTTGTCAGTTATTTTTATTCCTGTTGTTTTACTTCTTATTACACGTTTTTAGTAGGTTGTGGATTTAATATCAGTAGTTTTAAAAAGCTTCAAATAGCTACTTCAAAACTTTTTGTTAACTCTTCTAATTTTACAAAAATATTACACCAGCGATTTGTGTAACGTAAGTTTTTCTTTCTTTTCAGCATTAAAGAACGAAGCCCTAGCCCACCCAAGCGGATTTTAGACTCCCCGTCTCCTACAAGGGAGCAAAAGGCGCGACAGGCAGTAGCCGAAGCTACGGCCTCTGCCGGAGCCCAGAAGTGGAAAATGCAAATTGCCGGCACTTCGGGCAATTCTAGGTTCAAAAAGAAACCCGAAAGAGCGCCTCCTGCTTCCGATTGGCAGTCTGATAGAGACAAACGCGAGCGGGAGCGGGAACGCGATAGAGAGAGGGAAAGAGAGAGAGAACGTGCTAAAAGTTGTAAGTAGCTTTTATTTCGTAGTAAATATTCTATTTTTATATTGTATATAGTAATTATAATTAGAAAAATGCTCTTTTCTAGCTTCTCCCTCCGACGACTCTCCTCCACCGAAAAAAATGTCTTTGCCTCCACTTCCTCCTGTTGAGAAGGCCGTTAGCGTGCGCAAGGCCATGGCCTTAAAAGAACCGCCGCCTAAAAAGCCAGAGTCCCCTAAAAAGTTAAAACTGACTCCAGCTCCGCCCTTGCCGAAAATACCGCAGGGACAAGTTGTGCTTGATAAATTTGGAAACTTCAGGCTGATTTCTCCGCCTGAATTGAAAAAGGGAGAAGGAATGAGTTCAGGTAAGTTTTTAAACGAAATTTTTTAGTTCAATGTGACTAAACTGTTGTTTTGGTCGAAGTATTGAGCTTTTTTTTGTTTTTTCTGCAACGGGCGATCGTATTAGGTTGTTACAGCGGTATATTTTAATATTGAATTTTAGAATTTATTAATATTTAGTGAAAATTGGATAAGAAAATTATAAGTTGTCATTGAAGGCGCATATATCGCATCCAGATTATGTTTTTTCGATGTTTCTGTCAATTACTATGTCAGCTGTCATTTATCCGCGTTAGTGTTGGTTTACCCGTTCAATAATCTACATATTTATTTACCTTTTCTTAAGATGGAGGTTGTGGCGTCGCCTGTCTTATCACTTGTCACTTTTCAATTGTAGTCGCTGTTCAACATTATATAGAAATTATTATTTAAGACACATTTGTCGAATTCAGACATGTTGTCAGTTCTTATGTCACCTGTCATTTATCCACGTCAGTGTTACACAATGTCTGTATTTTGAACGATTTTCGAAGTGTAATTAGAAACATAAAAATAAACGTATTTTCAAAATTGTCCATTGTCAAAATTTCCATTAAATACAGTCAATTAATGTCTCAAGGATCAATGTATTTATCAAAATTCTCAAGTTGACAGTTGTGACATTATCTGTCAATCGATCTCTATGCTATTTGTCATTTGTCGATGTACATGTTCACAATAGAAAATTCAGTAATAAAATTGTATAGAAGCTATCATTTAAGATACCAAGACGTCATTAATTTGTTTTGTCACCCTATTGCGAGATTTTCCCACTTAAAATCCCATAATAACTTAAATTCGTCCATAGGTAATTCATCCTTGATGACACAAACACGCCTCGGTTTACAATTTTATCAAACTTCTAAATATGCCAGTTGCAACTGTCATGTGCAATTGTCAGCTGTCATGTAATTTGTCAATTATCAATATACGATCTTGGTCCTAGAATATTCAATAATAAAATTAAAGGTGTGATTTTAAATACCAAAAAAATTGTTAATTAGTTGTTTGTAACACCCTACTGCGATATTTTTCAGATTAGTAATCCAAAAATGTCTAAATTTACTATAAATGTAGTAGACACATGTATCTAATTCAAATAAACTATTGACTATGCTGTTTTTAATTATGTTTTAATATATAGGAAGTTATGTCACGGGGCAAATGGACCCGATAAGAAAATCAGAGTATTTTCTATTTTTCTTCTGACTCTCTTAGATGTCTTGTTAGAATATATGACAGAGTCAAGGCTCTTGTATGACACTGGCTTCTGGACTCTTGACAGTATCAACTAGAAATTGGCCTAAAGGTCCTAGAGGTGTGGATGTACAGAAGAATGCTACAGGTATCGAAGATAAAAAAACTATTTAAACGATGAAAAGTTCTACAAGTGGCTAATACTATTCAGGAATTCATTAACAACGATAAATCGAAAAATTTCCTATGTACGTCACATTTTTCGACATATTCAATATCATATTTTCCAACTACTTACAAAAGGGCAAGATAAATTGGTACAAAACAATCATCCTAGCTGGAGAACATTCGAGACAACTCATGATGCACATTATGGTGAAATATTCACCAGAATAATTCGGTCTCTTTCACTAACATCAGTGAGAGCAGATACGACTCATAAAAAGAAGATAAATTCTAATTTTTCTTCGCAGTGTTTTTTCAATTTTACCATCTCTGTGTTGCTTCAGCTGTTTCATCCATCGTCGGATGTAAGTCGTGTCCATTCATTTTCGTTCGTTTTTTTGCATCTATTCGTGACCAGCCATTTGCTTGAGCATGGCAATCTTTTGGTTTACATCTGTTAATTTTTGGTCTTCTTATTTCTTTATTGGATAAGCGATCACCAAGCTTACTGTTAAGTATTCTCTGTTCTATAGCTCTTTGAGTCATTTGAACATTATGTGGACCATTTTGTTATTAAAAGCCCATGTTTCTCACACTGTCTGCCAAGAATCTTCGTATTTCTCAAAACTGTCAATCGGTAGCTGCCATGACATTTGTCAATTATTGATAAAAGAAATTTGACTGGATCAAATGATCTCATTTATCTTTGAATAATATTAAAACTTGTTAATTTTTGGATTGTTAATCTGGAAATTGTAGATACTGTTTTACTTTCTTTTAAAGCATACAAAATAATACAATAATAGAATATCAAATATATACACGTAAAGAAACTTCTTGATTTCTTCGTTTATTTGTAGCACTCTTTCAGCAATCAATAACACCAAATACCATAATATTTATAGTATTTAATATACATGTTAATAAAACATAAGGGTAAACAACGATTATGGAGGAAGAACAAAATGTTTCATTTACCATCATAGAAGACAAATTTTCTATTTGACATCTACTAATCGTTTATTTTGAAGAAGAATATTGGCATATTTGTGTTATTTTGGAAACAAATTATGTTTACCAGGTCCAAACAAAATGTTACAACGTTATTTATGACTGATATATCGATATACCTGACAAAAGTCAAAAATTTCCAAATAAAAACCCAGGAAAATGCATATTATTATAGAAGATTTATAGGTAAATACGATCAAATCAAAATTATGTAAATTCTGGATTCTTTTGTATATACTGTTACTATTAACATTTCTTCTATAATGTAAATAATTTATTATTTTTTGATGAGCATTTGATTTCTTACCAAAAATTTATAGCAATATCCGGAAGATTGCAATGGAGTAACAAAAATCAGAATTATCCTTAACAAATTAAAAATAAACCTAGAGAAATAAATAACTACGAACCTTCAAGGTCATACTTAATAAAAGACATATATTCATAAGTGCATAAATCAGGTTGTGGTAAATCTTAGGTTAATTGTTAATAAATTTTATATATATCTGAGATTTTGTGAGCTATGTATACTGTATTACGTTTATAAGTGTGATATAACCACTAAATCAAAAGTGTTGCATACGAAAAAATATCACCAAAGATGGCAAAAAAATGGTGTAAACAGTATAAATCATGCTTGAAGGCAACAGGGTAAATTATTACATTGGTCCTTCGAGCCGGTTAAACCGAATCTGGTAGTTTTGGCTCTGTTTAACTTTAACTTCTTTCACTCTCTGGATAATTGGTGTTTGGCTGGACTCTGTTCACGTACTTCTAGAAACTTACATTTTTACAGTTATAAATTATCTTTTACTGCCTGTGTGGGTCGGTTCTTTTACGATTTTGTTTATCTTTCGTTTACTATTGATCTCAGGACCACGGAAAAACACAAATGTTTGTAAAATTTGGCGATAAAAGCAATATTTCAAAAATTGATTGAATAGTCTAAAAGCGTTATCTGCTATAAATATTGAAATCAGTAGTTTTTGGATATTTAACTAACCATCCAGGGAAACATTGAACGCAAGAGAGGAGTAGGTCGCAAACAAATGTGGCTACGGAACATAAAAAACTAGACAGGCATAAATAACACTGGCGATCTTTTGCATGGCGCAAAAGACATACGTCTGGCCTTAAGATAATTCGCCAACGCACTATAGGTGCACGGCACTATAAGAAGAAGAAGGATAGTTGTATGCATATCTATAGAGAAATTAAGACGATGGGAGGAGTACGTTAGAGAACTTTTCCAACTTTTTACAACCAAAACCTAAATTTGGAGATCAGACTACATACCATTCGCTGTTATATACATATTTTCGATATTATTATATGGAGCTGAGACTTGGACATTAAAAAAAATGCAATTAAAAAGAATCGAGGCTTTCGAACCCTGGTTATACAGCAGAGTATTAAAAATATTATGGACTGATAGAATTACAAATAAAGAAGTACTGGAAAGGGTTGGTAAAGAAACAGAACTAATCACCATTATACAAACCAGAAAACTGGAATACTTAGGCCACGTGATGAGGGGACTAAAATACGAAATTTTGAGACTCGTAATACAAAGAAAGATTCAAGGAGGAAGATCTGTTGGTTGAAGGCAGAACTCATGGTTGAGGAATCTAGTAGTCTCCGTAGGGAGACGGCACTCTAAGAAGAAGATACATAACTGTGTGTTCCATAATTCTGAGGTCGCTGACGAACATTTTAAACTGTTAACTTTGTACATTGGCCCTTCGAACCTATAAAGTCATGCTGTAAGAAGATGAAGCAGGTACTGCTTTTGACCGTTTTCTACACTTGATGGATTCATGAACGCTTGGGTCGCTTTAATTTCCTTCCCTTTCATAATAGGTTGGTTGTTTGGCTCGATTGACTCTGATGACAGACTTGTGGCAACTTATGATGACTAGTTATAATTTTTTTGCCGACTATGTGTTTTGTAAAAATCAATTAGCCACAAGATCAGAGGAAACTGACTTCGATTTAGAAAGAAAGAAGGGTTTTTTTATACCCGAAGTATAAATTTGAATGCCTCGTTTTAATTTTTTGTGCAATAACAAACATTCTCAGATACATGTAAACAAAATCTCAGCTATCGTTTCGTAAATATTAACTATGTGATATTTTTTGTTAGGTCGCCGCCCGCCGGAGCCTCCAGGTCGCCCGCGCAGCGACAGCCGCTCGCCCAAACGCCGCAGTCGCAGCCGTTCCAGATCGTCGAGCGGATCGCGATCTCGCTCGCGCTCACGATCTCGGAGCTATCGCTCGCGATCGCGCAGCTACTACAGCAGATCGCGATCGCGCAGCGGCTCCTACTACTCACGCAGTCGCAGCCGTTCGCGAAGTTATTCCGGAGATCGGCGCAGGTACAACCGCAGAGGTGGCTTCAGAGGCAGGCATCCAAATGACAGGGGCACGTACTACAAACCGAGGTTCCAAGCGCCAAGGCATAACGGTCAAAGAGGTAGAGGTGGTAATTATTATAATAATAGGGATTCCAGGTATGGCGATAGAGACTATCGAGGCAGAGGCAGACCGTACCAGTTCCAAAACAGGGGTAACCGAAGACAACAGCGAGGTAGATATGGTTCTAGAGGAGGAGGAGGATACAGAGATTATAGGGATCGCAGGTAAAAATATAAATTAAATTATTTATAAATATGATTTAAATATAGGCGCTAGAAAATTTTGTAGTAATTGCGTATGTAATTTTTGATAAAAAGTTTCATTTTCAACAATATTATTTACTTCCATCCATTTTTTTCGTAAGTAGATATACTCTAAAAAAATTGGAAATAGGGTTGTGATGTCGATTTTTTTGTTATAAAATTTTTCTTCAGTTTGTCACATTGTCAGTTTGGAGATATTCAAATTCTAGTTATGTTTATGTTCGTGTATTTTGTTTTGGATACGTTAACCTGCAGTCCCAATGTTTTCGCGGCTTTTTCTAATGTTTCAAAAGCCTGTATCAGGTCTCTTTTTGTCCGTGTTACTATGTCAATGTCATCTCTTAGACCAATATCTGTACACTTCTATTGATGATCGTACCTCTGGTTGTTATGCCCGATTTCTCTATGGCTCTTTCTAGCGCAATGTTAAACAATAGACACGATAGACTGTCTCCTTGGCGTAATCCAGTATGTGTTTGAAAAGACCTTGACACTCTGTTTTGTACCTTGACTTTACACTCAACTTTTGAAAGAGCTGTCCTTACCAATGTTATTAGATGCGATGGAATATCAGTTCTGCCATGGCATTATGAAGTGCACTTCTGTCTACACTGTCATAAGCACTTTTAAAATCTATGAAAAGGTGATGGGTATAAATTCTATATTCATATGTCTTTTCTAAGGTTTGTCTGAAAAAGAAAATCTGATCAATTGTTGACCTTTCTTTTCGGAATCCACATTGGTATTTGCCTACTCTGGTATTCGCAATATTACTATATTTATATTTTGGATATATTTGATGCTATATATTCTTTTTGCTTTCCAAGATCTCCAAGCCTATAAAAAATTGAAAAAATGTGTTTTTTGTCAGAGCGTTTGTCTGCATTTTTGATACATGGTGGTAGAATGAATCTTCGTGGCTTTCTTTTTTTTACTCTTGATATTGTACGCTTTTGTTTTTTCTGTATTTGAGTCGAAATATAAGATTCTCCCTTGTTTCTTAAAATTTTTGATTAATTCTTTTGTCATAATTCGGGTCTTTTCTTTCTTTTTTTTTTTTTCTCTCATTTTCTCAGTTTGAGTTTTAAGCGACACTTTCTTTCTTTTTGATGAATTCTCATCTCGATCTACTTCTATTTCTGCTTCAGAACGGAAGATTTCGTGGTTCCTGATATATGGGATCGCATACGCTATCATCGGATCCGTATGTATCATTTTGTAAGTCCTCATCGGAGAAATCTAGAACAATGTTTCATTAAATATATACACGAAATGCCAAATAATTATACATTAATTTTTTCTAAGCAAAACATATGTGCTCTTAAATTAAAATTCATGATATTTGTATATGGATTAGGGTTACATTTAAATGAATCTACAATAATACAAATACATAAACTGAAATCTGCAGATTATAGATACATTTAGACTTAAACCACAATTTAATTCAAATTTCAAAAGTCACATTTAAAGATAAAACTTTTTTCTCAATCAATACTACTAAATATTCAACTTACCCCGATATTCAATAGTTTTATAACAACTTATAATACTATTCCAGAAAGAGCACAGTCACTTGACATGATTTAAAACGAAATATATGGTTATTTCTCACCAGCGGCGATAATCCCACATGAACAATCGGTAATAGACTGAATTGTAACACTCTCGTTCACAGGTGTCTGTCAAAACCGCTGACGTTACCACGTTGCGTGTCGCAATCTCGCATACAAATATTGAACTACAGTTATAATCATTTTTCTCAGAAAAGTAGACCACTTTTTCGCTTGATTACTGCATAAATCTCGAAAACAGAATTTTGAGTTATAACACTCTTCTTCAGCATGGTCGAATATAGTTTTGCGATAGTTGTCGATTTAGCATTAAAAGTTTGTAGGGAAAATTATTGATCTTGAAGTGACTCAAAGATTTACGTATGTTTATATGTTATTTATGTTTAATGTTTTATTGAAAGTCCCCATGTCAACCGTTTTAATTCATTGTTTCAGATATTCAAGAAGCAGATCCCGCGATCGTGATCACAGCAGGTCATACAGTCCTAGCAATTCAGATGCCTCTCCTCCATCGAAAAGAGACAGATCTTCTCCTCCATCCGAGAAAGAAAAGATCAACAAGTATTCTGACGGGGACGCGCCTATCCAGCATGAAGGACCGCTTTCTGAAGGCGAGGACAGGGACGATTATATCAGCACTGATACCAGCAAGTTGATCGATAGGGAAATCGGTGGTAAGTGGGCTGATAAAGAAGCTGATACTAGTAAGGAGGAAGCCAAAGAGAGTGGCCAAGGGGAGGCTGTGGAAGTGAAGGAGTAAATAGGTTTGTCCATTTCCATTATGTTTTATCATCGACCATTTTTATGTCTTATTCATAAAATTGTATTAACAATTCTTTTTCCTTTCAGGTGGACTTTCTTTTTGTCTATAATTCTTTAAGGACGATTTGAGTGTTGCTATGTAATATAATTTGTATTCTTTCATATAGAAATAAAGGTTAATTGTACACGATCTTTCTTTTTTATTATACATACCAACTGGGATCAAATATTAGCTAAAATTATTTGAAAATATTGTTTTGAACCTATTTTCTTGTGGCATTTTAAAGTAGATACTATTTTCATGGGAATAAGCCACAATTGAAGTTTAAAATAAGATTATTGGCGTTTCAATTTTTACTTCGGAAATCTTTTTCAAAATACAATCATTAATAAATTAAACAAATTTTGTTAGTGAAAAATTCTTCTAATAATTTAATTTTATCTGACTCATTTATATTAACAATTAAGACATATATATTTTAAAGTAGACGACTTAAAAATGATATTGCCAATATTACAAAAATTGCCGCTGGGCAAGATTTAAAAAAACTTGAGAATAAAGAGATTATTTTTTTCAGAAAAAAATATTACTGAAAAACCTGCCTATCTTTTAAATTATCCATGTACTAATTAGGATAAAATGTTAGTTAAAATTATTTGAAAACTCCGCTTAGAGCTTACTACGCATACTTAAAACCAATAGAAAGGAACAAATGTTGAAGATGTCTCTAAAACGGGAGTAGAAAGCTCAACAATAATCTGAAAATGTGAGTATCAAGAGTGTAATTTAAGCCAAAGAAAATTCAGTGCAATTATCTTAAAAAATGTTTATTAAATTTAATAAATTACTAAATAAAATGATGAATTGCATTTCATTCTGGCATATTTGGTGTAGTCCACACGTATCGTGCTCTGGGGGTGACAGCTAGCTTGAAGCTGTCGATTGTTTCCAATACGTACGCCATTGCAGTGATGTATCCAATGATCTGAAAGAAAAAAAGACGCGCGTATTTTGTAATGAGTTTTTTTTGTACACTGAGTGTCAAAAAAGTGGCCACCCTATAAATTTCCAAAAATAAAAATTCATTGGAAGTGTTAGGCATTGTTTCATATTGTATTCTTAACATCTTTGATTTTTAAAATAAAAAATGGTCATTACTGTTTGATTTCTTAGCATAATTTATTTAATTAGAAAGCTACAAAAGAAGAGAGTGTGAAGTCGAAATGAATTACAAACAATAAAAATTACTAGTGAACTTAAACAAAATTGTCTAATATCTGGTGTTATGCCCTAAAACATCAATAACCGTTTGCATACGATTTCTAAGGGAAAGAAAAAAAATTAATAAAAACTTGAGGAATACGTTCATATTCTTCACGAAGCATGTTTTGGAAGTTTTGCAAGACATTCTGGCTGGCCTGCTTGACTTATAACCCTACGATCAGGTTAATCCCAAAGATGTTCGATTATATTCAGATCGGGGCTGCAGGCTGGCCGTTCTAGAGTCTTAATTCCAACTTCCCCCAAGTAATATGTCAGGATTATTGCAGTATGCGCCCGTGCATTATCACGCATCAAGACAAAATTGTCCCTAATAAAGAACCAAATCAAACTCTGCTTCTGTCAAAACATCCTCTATATACCAGTGAGCATTTCGGGGGCCATTGATGAACATAAGTTCAGTTCGAGCTTCAAATGTGCTTCTGTCAAAACATCCTCTATATACCAGTGAGCATTTAGGGGGCCATTGATGAAAATAATGCCAGACATCAAACAGAATCATGATTGATCAGTAAAGAGAATTTAGCTCCATTCCTGTACATCCCTGTAAAAATTAATTGATTGCTACAGGTGTCTGGGGTTGTAATTCGGGAACAACAGCCTGGCTTCTTGCCATTAGCCCTCTTTCATTGAGTTGTCTTTTAACCGTTCTCTCACTTACATTCCCATTTCGAACCTCCTGCGGACCGTTTCTTTAACAATTGCAGTGGAATGGCGATTTCTTAAAAATTCCATCACAATAAAACGATCATCTGCGAGGTAACTCTTCTTTAACCGGAACCATAAACGTCGAAAATGTCAAAAACAAGCATACAAGAACACAATAAATATTTAATTTGAGATGCAGTATGGAACAGTGCATAAAACTTCCAAAGAATTTTTATTTTCGGAAATTTATAGGGTGGCCACTTTTTTTGCCGGTCAGTGTATATTTAGATAAAATTATTTCCTGATGACATCATCGCATACTGTTTTGTGACTTAATAATAGGGTGACATACCTTGGTGCTTAACGTATGCCGATGATGTGTTGAAAGAAGTTTAGACCAAAAAAGACAAGCTCTTAAAAAAAAAGTTTAAAACTTGGTCATAAACGAAGAAAAATTGTAATTTTACAACAAGATCACCTATGATGCAACGAACTGAATATGAACTTAAAAAAGAAGAAATATGAACAACATATGCATATGGCGAAAATGAGAATGTTTAGATGAATGAGTTGTTATAAAAAAAAGATAAAATTTAAAATGAGTATATTAGGGGAGTCTATAGGGAGGGGATAAGTTAAGATGGTTCGGGCATGTTCAACGTTGGGAAAAATTATCCAATATGAAGAATTGAGCTTAAGATGTCTGTGAAGGGTATTGATATTGCCCAAGATAAAATCTTACGGAGAAATGGAATTAGGTAAGGTTTCCCCTATAGGGATAAAGACAAAGATTATGAAGATCCTGTATATCCACTCATTTGAGGTCTACCGGGTGGTGAATCGTAAAATGGGCCATAGGAAACTCAATGGGAAATTTTAAATTGTTGAATTGCTGCTTCCCTAATTATTTTAGATCAAAAGTCATAAAAAAAACTATTTGTAGAGGACTAAAATCTGAATTAAAAACAAATGTTAAAACCGTTCTACGAATCAAATTTATTTCAAAATTTTGCAAAAATATAATAGATTTTTCAGGCACCTCTAAAAGTTAGGCCACACGTAATGCAAGAATATATATTATGAGGTGTGTGTTTTATCATATTGATATCAGATGTTTAACAATTTAAATTGTCATTTTTTTATTTTATGATTAAATTATAAAAAATGAATTTTACTAAATAGTACTACTACTGAACAATATTACTTTGTGAACATAAATTATATTGTTTACAAATCGATCAATATAAAAATGTACTCAGTTGAAGGAAAATCGCATAATGTTGTATTCAGGCAATAGCGCGAACCTTTTCCTGCCACTACCGGATCTTTATTTAACGTAAGATATTCTAATACACTAAAATTTAATTCCATGTTAAGTTATACAACAATTCAATGAATTCCAAGATACTGTTACTGTGTTCTTTATTCCTAATAATAATATATGATAATTTCTAAAACATAAAACTATAACAAATGTTATAATAAAACATTTTTACTATTGCTCTTTTCTCCTCAACTGAGTACATTTTGTAATCAACTTAATGGACCGCAGGAGTGTGACGTCACATTGTCATTATTACTTTCCAAACAAACGTTGAAATGTCAAATCTCAAGACTTTTTAATTCCTATAAAGTTAACATTTTGCTTCCTCTGCTGCTTTTTCTTGTAAGTATAGTGTTTTTAAGATAATACCGTCATAATTCAGAGTTCTATTTCTATGAAATATGGTTTAAAAGTTTAATTAAAGAAATTTTAACCGTACTTTATTGATACTTTCATTTTATTCCTAATAGCATAAAACAATGTGCTTTATTATTTACACAACCTTGTAAAATTGTTGTAGTAACTATTGGAATACTTAAATATTGCAAAAAGCGGAAAGATTCTATAAAATAAATGAAAAAATAACGAAAAATACAAATTATCCACACTAAACAAGGTTTGTTTGGAAAGTGAAACTGGCAGATGTCAATCAAATCTACGTCATCACTCCTGTGGTCCATTTGTCTTTTAAAAAATAAATCACAAAATTTTTGCCATTTAAATCATAGATAAATATAATATAGTTGATTTAAATATTTTTAAATATCAGAAACATAAATATGACAAAACGCAACACGTAATACACCTTTTTTCACGGCGCGGCGCCTGGCCTGACTTTTAAGATGGCCTGAAAAATGTATTATATTTTAGCAAAATTTTGGAATACGTTTAAGTCGTAGAACAATTTTAACAGTTGTTTTCGATACATATTTGGGTCCTCTATAAATAGTTTCCCATGACTTTTGGTGTAAAATAATTAGGGAAGCAGGAATTCAACAATTTAGAATTTCCCATTGAGTTTCCTATGGCCCGATTGACCACCCTATATATAGGAAAACAAAATCAAATGATGCTATCCAAATAGTCCAATATTTATATTCTCCTGAAGTTTCTGCTTTTACTTTGGCAAAAACGATGGACAGAATTACTTTTCAAAATCAGAGTCAGAGTATGGTAATGTACGAACAAGAGGTCAGGTGCCAATGTCGGTAAGAATTTGTTCTGTAGTCACATTCTCACAGTTCTTCTTCTCGTTCACAGTTCTCACAGTCACGTGCTTAAAATAATATCACGTAAAATGTGTCATTTTAACGTCAAAATTTAATTACTACCTATATAAAGTAATGATTAGGTACTTACTCCTGCAACTATATATTCCTTTGACAATTCAGAGAGCGTAATCGATGCACCTAGTGCATAAACGACAGCGACGGCCAGACAGTTGGCGCATTCTATCCAGTCCCACGGAAAAGTCGATTTTCTAAACAACGCTTTGTAATGTACAATAAGGAAAAATAGGGTGGTACATAAAGCATATATGGCGTTAAAGTTAAGAAGGATCGTTTTAAATAAAAAGCCACAAATAGATCCTGCTATGATTACGCTGATGTTCAACACCTAAAAAATATATTTGTTAAAAAGGTTAACCTAACCACAAATTGTTTCTATGAAGAGCGTTAGGCTAGGAGAGGGAATGTCAAAAAAATTAAATTTAGGTTTCAACACCATCTGTTAGCTTTGACTTTGGCCATGTAGTATCGCGAATGTAGTATCTGTGGAATGAGGTTTGAAAACACTTACTCGTTGGGCTAAAAGAAGGAATGTCGCACGCACCACGGATTTTGTGCTGTAAGTAGGGGAAATGTCCCAAGTACACGTTAACCTGCCGCGAAAACCTCATCGTTCTGTGCTCACCAGATTCTTGTTTACCTCAACT